TTCTTGTTCAATAATGTACATTAAACGCGGAAACAATAAATATCATTAGCCTAGTAGCAACAATTAAATAGTCGATTGATAGTCAAATATAACGCAGATTTAAAAAAAAACAGAAGTCCGAATAAACAATACGAGCTGCTCAAAACACGGCTGGGCCAACCACCGACCGACACGAACTGGCTGCATCGATAGCACAAGCCGTAGCCGCGCAAGCAGTTTATGATAAGAAAGTAAGAAATGAACATAGCCGGCGCGTCGACGGCACGCGACGACGGCGACCTGGTGCGCAAATTGCATTTGGTACCATATATACATGCGATTTGAACTATACTGCTGTAGGCGGATGCGGCTCATGCCCAGTGCCGGTTTTAGCACTACCAGCGCCCTGGGCGAGATTTCTACGGCGCCCTCTAACTGCAAATCAAACCCATACGAAAAAACCGGCCAAGTGCGAGTCGGCACCCCTGAGAGGTCGACCAACCTCGTCCTGCCCTACCGCCGGTACTGCGCAACGAGTACAAGTGCGTATACACACAACAATCAATATACTCGTAACTTGCGTAACAGAATTTTCTAGCAAGAAATTTCGATACAGGGAGATACACAATTGAATTACGCATCTAATAAAATTATTCCGAACTTACAGTAAGACCGCGTTCGCGTGTTATAATAAAAAAACTACAATTCCTAGCGCAACGAGTACAAGTGCGTATACACACAACTATCAATATAACTCGCGTTTCGGAATTTTCTCGCAATAAATTTCTATACTGGGAGATACAGAATTAAATTCCGCATCTAATAAAATTATTCCGAACTTACAGTAAGACCGCGGTCGCGTGTAATAATAATAAAAAAAGTACAATTCCTAGCGCAACGAGTACAAGTGCGTATACACACAACGGTCAATATTACTCGCGTTACGGAATTTTTTCGCAATAAATTTCAATACAAGAAGAAACAGAATTAAATTCCGCATCTAATAAAATTATTCCGAACTTATAGTAAGACCGCGTTCGCGTGTTATTACAAAAAATCTACAATTCCTGGCGCAACGAGTACAAGTGCGTATAAGACCCCACTATCAATATAACTCGCGATACGGAATTTTCTAGTCATAAATTTCGATACAGGGAGATACAGAATTAAATTTAGCATCTAATACAATTATTCCGAACTTACAGTAAAACGGCGTTCGCGTATTATAACAAGAAAAGTACAATTCCTAGCGCAACGAGTACAAGTGCGTATACACATAACTATCAATATAACCCGCGTTACGGAATTTTCTCGCAATAAATTTCAATACAGGGAAATACAGAATTAAATTCCGCATCTAATAAAATTATTCCGAACTTACAGTAAGACCGCGTTCGCGTGTTATAACAAAAAAACTACAATTCCCAGCGCAACGAGTACAAGTGCGTATACCCACAACTATCAATTAGATTCCCCCAAGAACAAAACGCGATAGAACGGAACAGATTAAAGATTCTTAAACTAGCACCCTACGTCATGTTTGTTCGATGATTTTTAATAACAAATATCTTCCAAACTAAAGGAGATAACAACCAGAAAATTGTTGATTACAAAAGATAAGATCATTCTTTATAAGATAGGAGTTTAGAATTATTTAATTTCAAAGAGTAAAAGGTTGAAAAATGCGATTAAAAATGTTAAAAAGTGACATTTATCAATTTTTGCCCATTTTTTTCAATCGCGAATATCTCGTAAACTAGAAGAGATAGAAAGGACAAATTGCAGATTCTTAATCTACGGAAAATTCTCTATAAGATAGGCTAGTTAAAATTGAAATCGAAGAGATGAAATTTTAATTCCTTGAATTAAAATCATTTAATTTCAAAGACTAAAAGGTCGAAATATGCGACTAAAAGTTGTAAAAAGTGACATTTTTTAATTTTTGACCATTTCCTTCAATTGTGAATATCTCGTAAACTAAAAGAGATAGAAAGGTCAAATCGCAGACTCTTCATCTACGGAACATTCTCTACAAGATAGGCTAGTTAAAATCGAAATCAAAGAGATGAAATTTTAAGTCCTAAGAAAAAATCGGCAATATCGATAGCGAATATCTACGAAACTAAAAGAGATAGCAACCAGCGAATTGTAGATTATGAAAGATTGGATTATTCTCTATTAGATAAAAATTTAAAATCATTTAATTTCAAAGAGTAAAAGGTTGAAATAAAAGTGTTAAAAAGTGACATTTTTCAAAAGAGAGTCAGCTATTCATTCATCCTCGTAAGGTTGCTGAATACAATCAATGTAACTAAATAAACAAGGAAAAATTAACGTTCTTGACATATTCGAGTAAATGAATTTCAATAGTGCATACCTTTGAAACTAAAGGCGATAGCGACCAACGGATTGAAAATTACGAAAGTTTGAAAAATTCTGCATTAGATAAGTCCATTTAAAAAGGACCAAAAACGTGACTAAAAGTGCAATTTTTCTTTTTTCCCCATTTTTTTGTAATGCGAATATCTCCTAATTGGGTCCGACCGTGCCGGTCGTCTAATTTGTGTCCCAGTTTGACCCAAAAATATAGGTATTTGAATTATAAACTTACCAATGTACAGCTTATCGGACTGCTAGGCACAACGAATGCTGTAACTAAACGAAAACATAAATTAAAACAATAATATTTCATACAATTGAATTATGTTATAATTAACAATTAACACAAAATAAACAATATGTGCTGTTTAGTTAAAAGATACTTACACGAGCCTGATGGATCTTTCTAAATGATGAGAATCAATATGGGGGTGATATATATCCGATTAATTTACACCAAACACAACGCCGAGTGAAGAATGTTATCAAATCCACAATCACGTGCCTTGTAATATACATAACAAACGCGATTTAAACCTGGATTTCCGAACATTAAACAAATTAGGTACTATAGTCGCAAAGTACAAATAAGTCGATTGATCTTGATCAAGTATAACACAAAGAATGTAGAATATTGAAATCCGAATAAACGATATAAGTCACTCTAAACACGACTGGATTAACCACCGACAGTGTAGCCGAAACTGCGTAAATAACGACGGGACAGTAGTATATGATAAGAAAGCAAGAGGCGCGCAAAGACGGGGCGTCGAAAACACGCGATCTTGCGAATAGGCAAATTACCTGTGATCTAAACTGAACTAAAATTCGCTGCATGCAGCAAGTTGTTACGGCGCCAGGAGACAGCGCGCGGGACACATGCGTTTAAAACGTTGTTTACATCGAATCTCAGATACCAGCATTGTATACAAAACTATTCTCGTGCCCACGTTTGTCGATAAATGTAAAAATATGCCGTATAACTCGATTTTATGATTTTTAGTGCATCCTAGTGCCATCTATGAATGCGACAAATACTAATCCCGCAATTTAAACTATTATAATCAATAATTAATGTTTCCACGTGTTTTCACTTTTGTATGCAGTACATATTGTCAATTAACATGTGCCGTAACCGGCATTTCCGAACATTAAACAAATTACTGTAGTAAATGTCTGGAATAGAATAGGTTTTTATGTTCTAGTTGGTGAAAGACACAAGTATTTTAAATGTTTCGTCTAATTTGAGATAAATAAAAGTTTAATAGAAAATTGGGATTGACAAAAAAATTCAAACGGCATGTAATTAAACGAACTTTATTTTTTCGATTTTTAACTTGTCAATTCATTAAATGCACTTATAATTAATGTTTGCACTTAAAAATACAGAACTGAACTTAAAAATAAATATTTGCACTTTGAAAAATGAATTCCACTTGAATAAAATGCTTTCCACTATGAAATTAATACTTTGCACTTATAAAACTTGCAGTATTAAGTACGTGCCGTACTCTTGGCCGGCCCCTTCTATCACCCCCCCTCCCCCACCGCCCCTCAAATAATACCAAACAAGGTAGCCTACCTAACCACCACCCCCAACCCCCCGACCGTCCCACAAATAATACCAAACAAGGTACCCTACCTAACTACCACAAATTATAAAGTTTCAATTTAAAAAGTTGATTCAAAGCAAATTTAAGCTTAAACCTGAATATATAAGTGCATTGTATTAAAATATAAGTTATACAATCTATAGTGCATAGTATGAATTTCTTAGTGCAAAGTATGAAAACTTAAGTGCGGCTGTTCAAGTGGATTGTATTTTAACTAAAGTGCATTTAATATATCCCCAATTCAAACACCACCGACATTAGCGTCACCTAGCTGCCAGGTTCCAAACTAGTATGCATCGCCTGCATAACAGGAAACTGTAACGAAGCTACCAGTAGATTGGCGACCTACACTTAATTGTATTCACTTGCTACTAAAACAATTCACTATGCCCACACTCCTAAAGTAAACAAAAATTTGTTCTTTAACATACAAATATTCCATTTTAATGAGTTCAGGGTGAGATAATCAGAAAATTTTGTAATGAAGATAATAAAGAATTTCCATAGGTACAGTTAGACGCCTAGACGCCTAAAATTATCCTAAATTAGTTCTTTTATACACAAAAAATAATTCTTGTGGTATTTGCGTAAGTTAATCTCAAAAGTTAGTAATATAAACAATAGAGAATTTGAATACTTACTGTTTGTTGCAAGTACGTGTACAGGTTCAGTTGGTAAACTCCTAAAACAGTCCAAAATTATTTCTTTAATACACAAACATTACATTTCTGCAGCGTTCACGTAATTTAATCACAAAAGTTAATATTGAGAAAAAGAAAGAAATCTTATACTTGCAATCCAAGAAATTGTGTATCAATATTCACATATCGTTATGAATAAAATCGATAAAGGTGTAAATGCAAAATAGTTCAAAAAGTTTGATATCGTTCACGCATTATTGAAGCTATGCAAAGTTTTATATTTTAAACGATGCAACGCCATCTGAATCTAGTATAAGACAACGTAAACGTAAAGCAAGCAACACACAGTACTTTACGATTTAGGGATATTCCCCTATGCGCTCATTAACGTTCTGTTGGCAGTATGGACAACTTAGTGCAAAATGTCTACCTGCTGAGAGCTCTACTGTCAAATTCACGTAAACACAGTGATGGTGATATTGTAGGACATAACGTAAAATGTAAGTGTTAAAATACGAGCGAACCGAAAAATGGCTCAAGGAGTGCTTAGCTCCGACATATCGAGGAGAAATCCTCAAGACGAATATGAGCTCATCCAGCGCATTGGCAGTGGAACTTATGGGGATGTCTATAAGGTGTGTAAATTACAAGAATGTTCTAATCTTAAACTAAATTTAAAATCTAGACATTATCTCTCATTTTCGTGAATTGCAAACCGAACTATTACCGTTTTCAGGCGAAGAGGCTTAGTATAAATGATTTAGCAGCAATCAAAGTGATCAAACTGGAGGCTGGTATGTTTGACATTAATTACCATTAAATTGGATTCCAACTAAATTTTCATATTCATGATTGCAGGAGATGATTTTGGTGTGATACAGCAAGAAATTTTAATGATGAAAGACTGCAGACATCCAAATATTATTGCTTACTATGGTAGCTACTTAAGAAAAGACAAACTATGGATTTGCATGGAGTACTGTGGTGGAGGCTCACTACAGGATATCTATCACAGTGAGTCATCAATCACAATATTCAATTGTATCTTATCAATTACAAGCCACCACAATAACTAACTGTATTTCATTATTCTTTCTTTCAATAGTCACAGGCCCACTTACAGAAGTGCAAATAGCCTATATGTGTAGAGAAACCTTGCTGGGCTTGTCTTACTTGCACCAGATGGGTAAAATGCATAGAGATATTAAAGGAGCAAATATTCTACTCACCGAAACCGGCGACGTGAAGCTTGCTGACTTCGGCGTCTCTGCGCAGATCACGGCCACTATCAACAAACGCAAATCATTCATCGGCACGCCGTATTGGATGGCACCCGAAGTGGCGGCTGTGGAGCGAAAGGGCGGCTACAATCAGCTGTGTGATATCTGGGCGATCGGCATCACAGCCATCGAACTCGCCGAACTACAGCCACCAATGTTTGATCTGCATCCGATGCGCGCACTCTTCCTCATGTCCAAGAGCGGTTTCAAGCCGCCGACGCTCAAGGACAAAGATAAATGGAGTTTGACTTTTCACAACTTCGTCAAGGTGGCCCTCACGAAGAATCCAAAGAAACGCCCGACCGCTGAGAAACTCCTGCAACATGCATTCTTTCAAATGGGAATGTCCAAACGACTTGCCACGGATTTACTACAGAAAGTGAATAATCCATCTCACATGTTCACCGATTTGGAACCTGATGAAGATGGAGTAAGATTATAATATTCAATTCATTTAACGCCACTATATTTTTTATTCTCTGTTTAAGTCTGTACCGAATGTGCCACAAAGAATAGCATCGCGTCTAACGAGCCGCGCACGCAGCCGAATTGCACTGTCGCCCTCGTCGGACATCGAATGTATCGACGAGTCCAACAACACGCTGCAGAAGCCAGGCCCGTCGAACAACATACTCGAGGACGAGCTTGAAACTCCACAGCAATGGGATATTATGGATATTATGAACAATGTGACGACAGTGCACAGCTGTGGCGAACATCAAAATCAAATGTGCGGCATTGGTACGGCGTTCGATTCGTTGAATCGCGAAAAGTAAGTGCTATACGTTTAAGTTTATACAAAAAATTCATCCCAGAAATAGGCAAAATTAGTGCGGTTTGCTACATTTCTTTTTTTGCTTCAAGTGATGATGATGATGAGGATGGTGGCGAGAGACGCGCGCTGACTGGTTCGCAAATATTAAAAATGTCACTCAGGTACTTGAAAGCAGCGTGTAATCATAACAGCAATATCAATGGTTGCTCGCCATGTAAAATGTTGTGGTTTTCTATATATGCGAGTGTGCTTTTGTTTGGTTGCATTCTTTCAAAGTTGCGCTAGTGGACCGAAATAACAAAATAACCGATCTTTTTATTTTATTTAAAGACACTAGGCATGACGACTTGCCGTTTATGGCTTTGTTTTTGCTACTTTATTTATCGCTAACACCAAAAAGTAGTAGTGTGTAATTGTGTACGAAAATCGCGCGTCTTGTGTTTCTGATTTTTTTTTATTTGATTTGAGAATTGATTAATTTAAAGATATGATTTACGTTTATTTCATATATTTATCGATATTAATTTATATTATTTGGTTTAACTTTTATTTAGGAGTCTCTTGCAGTACATAGACGAAGAGTTAATGTTGAGGTAATAATCATTAGTTGCTCCATCATGCACACAATCTTATCAATGCCTAACCATGTATTATGCTGCTTGAATCTCACTCACTACTAACGCATCCAAACATTAACGCTTGCATTTTCATCTTAGAAATATTTCATCGCATACTTACTTGAATCCAAGCGTAGTGCAACATCATTAGCTGTAATTCAACCTATTATTAGCACTGTCTCTCTTCTTACTCGCATTGTTTAGTTAACATTAATAGCGGGCAACTCGGCGGCATAAATTTGTCTCAATTGGCCAGATGATCACCACTAATAACTTCTCGGGTACATTCCAGCACAAATAAACCCTAAAAATAAAATGTACAGTTAGCAAAAAAAAAAGAATAAGAAAAGCTACATTGACTGCATTATTCATTCATACATCCATGAATGGTGGTTGACTTTGTTTTTTTTTCTCTGTTTACACAATGGTTTGATATTATTGCAGTGATACTAATCGTCTGTTTGTTCACGTGTTTTTTTTTTGTTGATGTTTATAGGGGCGCCTACAAATATCAGCCTAGTGATTCGTACACGCAACAGTAAGTTGTTGAGCGCATTAATGCTTCAATTTTATTTTTTTCTGTTTGCTGGTCAGGTGTTTAACGGGCCATCAATGTTCAGTGTTATATTAAATGTTGACAATACGGTCATTAGTCGTTTTTGTTTAAAATGCGATTAGCAATTCTTAGTACATATATCTTATCAACATGAGATTGAATTCTTCTTTGCACTTAGCGTGAGTAACGCATGCTGCATGCCTTCGCTTGACAAAGTATTGTCTTGTTGAGTTTTATGTGAAGTGAACACATTGATATACTTGCTGTGCACGTATTTTAAACTAATCAGATGTTTGTTTTTATTTAGGGCTACGCTACCTGTGCAAGATAGCGATCCGAACCTGCACGGCAAGTGCGATCTACACAGCATTCCCTCTAGTCCTACCGGTGATAGCAACTCGTTGAACGGCTCGCCGCGGCGGCGTTCCGTCGATGAGATATTCGGCATCAACAATATGAGCCTTAATGGCCAAAGGCAAAGGTCTCTCAGTGATAGTGGGCGAGCCGAACGAAATGGTAACTAAATTTAAAACAATTGAGAGTTTTATTCTCTAAATTTTAAATTATTTAGGAACTGATTGCGATGAGACTAACAATCATGACGTAAGCGCGCCAGATTTAGTCGCCTGCCCGCCGGTGCCACCACGTAAACATCGTCGGCGGCACACACCTCCAAGACCACCTAGCAATGGTTTACCACCTACGCCAAAAGTGCATATGGGGGCATGTTTCTCTAAAGTTTTTAATGGCTGCCCGTTACGCATCCACTGCACGGCATCGTGGATTCACCCGGAGACGCGTGATCAGCATATTCTCATCGGCGCCGAGGAAGGTGTCTATAACTTGAACCTGAATGAATTGCATGAAACTGCGATTGATCAATTGTACGCACGACGAACTGTGTGGATGTACGTAATTAAAGATGTTCTCATGACTCTATCAGGTATGTTTGATTGTGTTTCAAATCATCTTGAATGGTTAACAATTTAAAAATGATTCTAGGTAAAACACCACAGTTATTTCGACATGATTTACTCTCTCTGCTGAATAAGCAATCGCATAGATTCAGTTTGCATATGAATAAAATCCCAGAAAGATTAGTGCCGCGAAAGTTTGCGCTCACAACGCGAGTGCCCGATACGAAATTGACGCAGAAATGTTGTGTTGCCCGCAATCCATACAATGGATATAAATATTTGTGTGGAGCTACCAATACTGGCATCTATTTGATGCAATGGTACGATCCGCTCAACAAGTTTATGTTATTAAAGGTAATTATTAGATTTTTATGAGAACGAAATTAGTAATAATTTAATTTGATTGTTAGCATGTCGAATACCCGTTCAACACACCGCTACAAGTGTTCGAGATGATCATCACGCCAGAATTAGAATATCCGATGGTTTGCATTTCGGTAAAGCAAGCTTATCAGCCTAATAGATACAAATTAGATTTAATTAATATGAATTCCGGTAAGTAAACTAATTCTCACGCATTGTTTTATGTTGTTAAACTCCCACAAGTTTATAAAGAATACAAAGAATATAATGAGTTTAATAACACTTACAGGTTCGAATTGGTTTCATTCGGACGAACTGCAAGACATGGATGGTTCAGCGACTGTGATTCCGAAACGTGAAAATCTGCAAATTGTTAATGTGACACAAATTGAAAAAGACTCGATACTAGTTTGCTACGATAATTTAGTGAAAATTATTAATCTGCAGGGGAGGCTTAGGGTTAACAAGAAACTAGTATCTGAACTGAGATTTGATTTTAATATAGAGAGCATAAGTATGTTTCATTGCAACATTTCTAGATTTCTACTGAAATAAGCTCATTTAACACATTTTTAAACATTGTTTTAGTCGTTTTACCCGATAGCGTGCTGGCATTCCATAAACACGGAGTCCAAGGGAGATCGTTTAAGAATGGTGATATCACGCAGGAGATAACTGATATTTCCAGAACGTACAAGTTACTAGGATGGGATAAGTGAGTTAAAATTGATTTCAAGCAATTTATCCATTTAATAATTTATTTCTTGTTATAGAGTTGTTATGTTGGAGAGTAATCTACTAAAAACAAGCACACTAACGCAGGAGGAAGGACACGACTTGTACATCCTTGCCGGTCACGAGGCCAGCTATTAAACGCAACCAAAAACGTACACGTACCGTAATAGCATTCACACCACATACAACCAACACACAAACACCATTTACAATTGTTAGATAATCATCCAATCAGCAATCGTTCAGACATCCACAGATTACACATACAATAGTTAGTGAATCCTCGGCGTTCTTTTTCTTTTTGTTATATTTTTTCGTAGTCTAATATAAAGTAAGGAATAATCATTCTAGCATAAGGAAGTATTCAACAAAGTACTAAGACAGGACGAAACACGCGAAAGTAAAATAATAAAAATAAAACAATATATAAATATATATAAATATGAGAAATAAAATGAGATTTTAACAACTATAAGCGATCGAAGCGTTATGCGTTCTAAATAATAATTTGCGTTCTTCACACGTGGATAAAGCGTAGCTGTAGTCAAGTAACGTTGTCATATTACAATTAATAATCGATATACCTCATCCTCCCCAAGAACACAAATAATAAGAAAATCTATTTTCAAAGATTAAAAGAGTTGACTCTAATCAAGCAAGAATTAAAAATTATTATCATGCGCGAGTGTAACTATTATCGCAGATTAAAGAAAGACAAATACAAACAGAGAAATTTATTGCATGAATATTTTAGATAAAAATTATCGTATCACCCCCGTACAACACTATCATTGATATGGATATTACTACAAATTATAAAAGATATATATTTAAATCTAAAAACGAGGGGCGGTAGTGTTGCTACTAATAATTGTTGAATGTAGCACTCTTGAAATATCCTAATTAAATGTTCAACGTACAATGATAGTCATGGTGTCGATTTGATTATAGATCACACGGAACAAGCTCTCTCTGAGTACCAAATGTCATGTTTATATATTAAAAAAGAGAAACTTTTGAGTTATTCGGTGCTTTTTCTATTATTGTAAATTGGTTTTTATTATTTTTGTATATTCCAATTAATTTAATTTATTGTTGTATTTTTTTCCCGCAAAATATTGCCACTTTCATAGTGATCTATAATTACAATTGATAATGAAATAAATCAACTTAAAAAATTACCATTTCAATAAAATAATCATAATCGAGTCTATAAATGTCGCTAAATTCTTTTGTAAATAATGTACATTATGTTTAAAAATAAACTACAACTGAATACGAGTTTAAAATACCAAAAATTAATATATTACGTTCAAGTTCCACTCACACACGAATATTAAAGAATTAAAACACGAAAAATCAATTCTAGTTATATGATGAGACGTCTAATGTTAGATTACAGTTTAAGCATAGAAAGGCAAAATTTCAACGGTTAATTATGGTTTAATCTCAATATGTGCAATAAAATGTAATGAATCCGACGATTAACGGTGACCAATGAGTGTGACAACTTGTAGAGCGATAGCGATTTATCCATCATCATGTACTTATATAGAAAGTTGCAACTACACTAGTATTTTTGAATCGCATTACATTTCAAGACAATTCAAGCCAATTCAAGTTCTAACATTATATATGGATGTAAACGAAATGCTGAATTATACAAAAACGAAATATAAATGTGACTAATAGGTACATAAATATATTTTTAAAGTGTAAAGTTTAGACTTTAGTTCGTTTAGATGTCGAAGATGTTGAAGTACATTGTTACGTATGTTTATGATTATTTATTGTATCGAATATAATAATTTATTTCATAGTCGTTCATTGTTATTATAGTTTTAGCTTTATTTAGATATTTAGAATGTAATTGTAATATTGATTTTAATACAATATTAATGACTTTGTGTATTTTATTATAAAAATAAACAAGTTATTGAAATACGATGTGTTCAAATGATTTTTACTATTTTTATAACGCCTAATTGCGTAATTGAAGTACTATTATGACGCACAAGTGCGTAAATGGACTTTTTTCACCTTGTGAATGATAAACTTTATGACAATTCTGTTAATATTCAAGAAATAATAACTTGTAAGCACTTTGGACCTTTTTCACACTTAATATAAAATATTTTGGCAGTATTTTCCTAAAACACAACGTAAACTCGCAAAAATTATGCAATATTTGTCACTAAACCATTTTAACATATAGCATTGGCGAATGCAAGTTGAATAGGTTTCGGGAAGCGCGAAAAGCTCATTCGGGAAAATCATCACATCCGCTTGATGTCTTAGCAAATCTAAATCGCAGCGTGTGAGCCGGTGCTCGTCCGCATGGACGCGCAGCAGTCTCGAAACTAAAAATACTAATAAAACAGCTCTAATTTATAAATAGATTTTTGCCGCTAGTGCGACATTCAGTCCGTTTCGAATCTTAACGCTGTGTGTGTACAAAAAAGAACGAACCATCCGGATTTAACAAAAGACTTCGATTCAATCCGTCCCACATGCATCGACACGATCGAACTGAATTGGATTAATTAACCGGTAACAAATGCGTGTTTGAGTTTTCATTCGTTGTGTTACCTGTTCCTGTGTGTGCGTGCGGCAATATTCCCGGTCCGACGAAATGAATTTGTAATCGGCAATCTGAAATGTGAAATATGAACATTAAAATTCGCAAACAAAATGGCGTCGAAATTATCTCAACTTGCTTATTGATTTGTGCAAATTAATTGAAACGAAAAATAGCAGTTTATGTAACATAAAATACAACATACGCATTTTTGTACATTCGGGGCGAAATTTAGAAGGTTGATGTCATCGAAAAATCAGGATCCGAAATGCAAATATTGGCAATAATTAGTAACATATTAATCACCGCTCCGAACACGTGTTCGTCATCAGTCGAACCTTGTTCAACGTGTGCCAAATACAAACACTGCATAAATCCAAAATAATATGTGAAAATCTCTACAGTTTAATCATAATGTGCATACAAATTCCAAAATGCGTAAATCCCTGATTGGCACTTAAAATGTTTGAAAACAGTTTTGCCCGATTTGAAATGTAATACACCGCAAGTCCGCTCGCCTACCAAAAATTTGTGAAGAAAGAAAGAGAGCTTCGTGCTATTTCTATTTTCCGTGCAAGTTTTTCATTCAATTATATTTAGACGCTGTCTCTACGTACACGATTTGGACAGAATACGAATAGCGAATATCAACTTCTTATTGTCTCGCGTATTTTGTTTGACTTGACGGGCCGTGTAAGTGAGTTACAGTCACACACTTTTATGAGGTGCGGTTTATTTCGGTTTGCTGGTAAATCATTTAAATCATTATATAGTTTAGCAGCGAATGTCAAATATTCCACCGTTTAAATTATAGCGTAAATTGACCGTGAAATAGGCGTAATTATAGCCTAACGCAAAGCAGGCAGTACTTCGACTACAAACAAAGTTAAACTTTATTCTTTTCATGATAAAATGTTTCAATTATTAATATTATTTAATTTAAGCCACCCTGTATTGGTGTAGGTGTGGGTATTCTTAAACTGTCATCATTTAGATTTGATTACACTTTCTGCTTTATTCTGACCCTAAATAAACGTTCATAACCAGTGTCCCAATTACGTGTTAATGTATTTTTGATAACGATACAAAAGCTCTACTTCCGCTCCACCACAAACGACTTCCTTAGAAATGGCCAACGTAATAAATTTCCTGCACGCAACCAAAAATTCACTACAAAAGTCTTTTAAAGCCGTTTAACACCATCCAAACAATTGTTAATGTTAATTAACTGTTCGGTACAAATGTAACAAAAAAATATCGATTAAATTCAGTCCTTGAAATAGTATTTTTGTAATATTGTAAATAAAATTCAACGAATTCCGGCATATTTCAACCCCGTGACGAAGAATGAATCGATGCGACTCTTTGTTATGCAAATATTTCGAATGGTACGAGTTGCCACGTGGTAAATTATAAAATGATTAATCTGTCGGCGGTTAGGGGTGGTGGAAATGTGTGATATGAAAGCTTGACATCCAACACCGAGCGTAAATAACGCAGAATAGACAAAACCCGCAGAGACAACCTACATATACCAGACTCCCTTCAACCACCCTTATAGAGCATATCTATGTATGAGTGCAAACAGGCAAAGGGCGCATGTCACACGCGAGTCCTCGCTTCCCCACTCGTCGGCCCTTGCCGCATCGCACTCGGCAAGGACCCTCCGCGGCGCGTTATCCTGTTGCTCCGCGCACGATGCGCAACCCCAAGTGTGGCGACGTCACACCAAGTGCACGATGTGATAATAAACTCTTTGGTGTTGTAGATAATTGAAGCCCCACGATGGCGGAGGCCGAGGGGGGATCCGAGCAGGATGATGTTTCATTCCTGCGCACGGTACGTAGAAACAACAACTCTGCCGCATTTCCTGTTTGTGCACTTTTGCTAATTAACTGTATCGACTTCGCAGGAAGACATGGTGTGTCTTTCGTGCACGGCGACCGGCGAGCGAGTGTGTTTGGCCGCCGAAGGATTTGGTAATCGACACTGTTTTCTAGAGAACATCGCCGATAAGGTACAAAAACATTAACATAAAATATATTGTATATAATTAATGACATTTAAATTTTAGAATATCCCGCCAGATCTATCGCAGTGTGTGTTTGTCATTGAGCAGGCGCTTTCCGTACGCGCTCTGCAGGAGTTGGTCACTGCGGCCGGAAGTGAAACCGTAAGTTTCATAAATTAAAAACCAAACCAGATAAAACATAGATAAATAAAGAAACAACAGCCGATCTTCTCAAAGTAAATATTTAAAAATCAAAATCCCTTAATTTTTGTTTTTATCAAAGTCCCCATAAAAGAATTTGACTAATTAATAGATGATATATTTTTGTGATACCCTTGTTTGTAACTCTACAAAAGTAGATCTAGTTTCATTCCCAGTTCAACACTAGCTTATCTCATGAATCATTTCGCTTTATTCATTTCTGTTTTGTTTTAACCTTTTATTTTTCACCCCAACTGTAGGTGACGAATTCATGATGATTTTTAATACACACACCAGAATTTATACGCTCCCATGATAGATATGGTTGTTTTTGTATAGCATTGGGTACAATTTATTCCGATGTTGATTTATTTCATTTGATTTCATTTCCGTTACGTTCATTAATTTCATCCGCCTTATGTATTTTTAATTTCAGGGTGAAGGTGGCTTTGTAAGTACCCCCCAATAAACAATTGAGCGCTGCATTCAAAGTAAACCGAAAGTTGTTCTAAACTCTAACAAACGTTGTCAACTTGTTGTAGCAATTGATCCTTTATTAATACTAGAGACGTAGTTGTTGAAGAAAAAAACTGACACCTCTCATTTGTAGAACGCTCATTCACCTTTTATCTTTTTCTTTGCTTGCTATCATACTGCCATAATAAACAATGCGTTTCACTGATATTCACTCTAAACTAACACGAATAAATTTCTTCGATAAACATAGAAATCAATTCTTTAAGCTTCTATCCACTAATCATAATCATAATGATTTTATGTGATGTACATGTTTATTTGTCGTAGAGTAGAAGTTATTTGCTGCTGTTGTAGACCATATAATCAATTATTCAATGTATCGTTTCGTTCGTCCACGCAGATAGTCTAGCTATTTTAGAAATTGTACAACTATGCACTTGCATACCGTAACTTTTGGGCATAGTGCTGATTTTTTGCGCATGTTGAATGTGTTTGTAGGGAAAGGGAACTGGCTCCGGACATCGCACACTACTTTACGGCAATGCAATTCTTCTGCGTCATCAGAACAGTGACATGGTAAGCGAAAATTTATCGAATTAATCCAAATAAACACAATATTATCGTTGTAGTATTTGGCGTGCTTGTCAACGAGTTCAAGCAATGATAAACTTGCTTTCGATGTTGGTCTTCAAGAACACAGCCGAGGTGAAGCTTGCTGGTGGACTGTTCATCCAGCCAGCAAACAAAGGTATGAATATTATTAAATATTATGTTAGAAAAGATAAAGTAACACTATTTTATATTAGATCTGAGGGTGAAAAAGTACGTGTTGGTGACGACTTGATTTTGGTATCAGTTGCAACTGAAAGATACTTGGTAAGTTCTCATATTAAAACTGAAACTTTAAACTTGATGGTAATCTTGTTACTTTGTAGCATACAACAAAAGAAAATGAATTATCCATCGTCAACGCAAGTTTCCAAATCACGCACTGGTCTGTCCAGCCGTATGGTACTGGTATTTCAAAAATGAAATATGTCGGCTATGTATTCGGCGGTGATGTACTCAGATTTTTCCATGGCGGCGATGAATGTCTCACGATTCCTTCGACATGGAATTCCGAACCGCAACAAAAGTAATTTAACTAACAAACTGAACAAAACCGAATTTGTTTAATCAATATCTTTGCAGTATGGTAATTTATGAAGGAGGTAGTGTAATGTCCCAAGCTCGTTCCTTGTGGCGTTTGGAATTGGCACGTACCAAGTGGACGGGTGGTTTCATTAATTGGTTCCACCCGATGCGCATTCGCCACCTGACCACGGGCAGGTATTTGGGCGTGAATGAAAACAACGAACTGTTTCTCGTCGCAAAGGAAGAGGCCAATGTGTCGATATCGACGTTTTGTTTGCGACAAGAGAAAGACGATCAAAAAGTGGTGCTTGAAGACAAGGATCTCGAAGTTATCGGCGCGCCTATTATCAAATATGGCGACTCCACCGTCATTGTACAACATTGCGATTCGGGGCTTTGGTTAACTTACAAAGTAATATTAAAAACAATCACCTAACATTAACATATTTCTAATATTTGTATTTTTCAATAGTCATACGAAACCAAGAAAAAAGGTGTTGGTAAAGTAGAAGAGAAACAAGCAGTGCTACACGAAGAAGGCAAGATGGACGACGGTCTCGACTTCAGTAGGAGTCAAGAGGAAGAATCGAGGACCGCACGTGTAATCCGTAAATGCAGTTCTTTGTTCACACAATTCATCAACGCTCTGGAAACGTTGCAAGTGAACAGAAGGCATTCTCTCTTTTTCGCCTCTGTGAACCTAAACGAAATGGTAATGTCTTTAGAAGATTTGATCAACTACTTCGCACAACCCGAGGACGATATTGAACATGAGGAGAAGCAAAACAAACTGCGCGCTCTGCGCAACCGACAGGACTTGTTCCAAGAGGAAGGTATCCTCAATTTAATCCTAGACGCCATTGATAAAATCAATGTTATCACCTCCTCGGGTTTCGTCGCTGCCCTCGCTGGCGATCAAAACTGGGAATTGATTGGCAGTTATCTCTACCAATTGTTAGCTGCTATCATCAAAGGCAACCATACAAATTGCGCACAATTCGCCAACTCAAATCGTTTGAACTGGTTGTTCTCTAGATTGGGCTCACAGGCGTCTGGTGAAGGCACTGGCATGTTAGATGTCTTGCATTGTGTGCTTATCGATTCTCCGGAAGCCTTGAACATGATGAGAGTGAGTTGCCGGAATAGCACACAATAAATAACAGGCTATTAAATATTCATTTTCAGGATGAGCACATCAAGGTAATCATCTCACTGTTGGAGAAGCATGGCAGGGATCCAAAAGTACTCGATGTGCTTTGCTCACTATGCGTTGGTAATGGTGTGGCTGTACGTGACTCGCAGAATAACATCGCAGATTTCCTACTGCCCGGGAAAAATCTCTTGCTGCAAACACAGCTTGTGGATCATGTTGCGAGTGTACGGCCAAATATTTTCGTGGGCAGGGTTGAAGGCAGTGCCATTTATCAAAAATGGTATTTTGAGGTGACTGTAGATCACATTGAGCAGACCACGCATATGATGCCACATTTACGAATTGGTTGGGCGAATTCCAAAGGGTATTTAATCATTTTTTGATGATTAATGATGTTCTATATAATTTTTAATGCTTTCAGTTATATTCCTTACCCAGGAGGTGGTGAAAAGTGGGGTGGCAATGGTGTGGGTGATGACTTGTACTCATTTGGTTTTGATGGTGCCTACTTATGGACGGGTGGACGATCAACAAAGGTGGTTGATGAAATAACAGAACCATTTATAAAGAAAAGTACTATTTCCATTGTTAACATTCTGGGTCACTACTAAATTAATTGATTTTTTTTTACAGATGACGTGATTGGTTGTGCCTTAGACTTAACTGGACCTACAATATCATTTATGTTCAATGGTATGCCCATCAGGGGCTCCTTCCGCAACTTTAACCTTGATGGAATGTTCTTTCCGGTTATCAGTTGCTCCTCCAAACTGAGGTAACTTAAATTAATAGTAAACTATACCGAATGTTTACAAAATATTGAATATTTCTAGTTGTCGATTCCTCTTGGGTGGAGATCACGGTAGACTAAAGTTTGTCCCACCAGACGAATTCTCCCCGCTGGTGGAAAGTTTGTTACCACAACAAGTACTAAGTTTAGATCCATGCTTTTATTTCGGTAACATGAACAAAGTGGTCTTAGCCGGTCCGTTAGTGGTCGAGGACGACACAGCTTTCGTGCCAAACCCAGTGGACACCTCCATGGTATCCCTAGCAAGTCATATAGAAACAATTAAGGATAAACTTGCAGAAAACATCCACGAAATGTGGGCGATGAATAAGATCGAAGCCGGATGGATGTGGGGGGATTATAGAGATGATTTAAATCACATACACCCATGCTTAGTGCAGTTCGAAAAACTTCCAGCAGCAGAGAAGAAATACGACTCACAGTTAGCAGTGCAAACAATCAAGTAAATATTATCATAATTCCTTTAAGATATATTATCTAAAAATGTGACAATTTCAGAACCATTTTGGCCTTGGGATATTACATTACTTTAGATAAACCCCCATCTCGTATTAAGAGCATTCGTTTACCAAACGACCCCTTTATGCAAGCCAATGGTTACAAACCAGCACCATTAGACCTGAGTGCTATTACACTCAACGTTAAAATGGAGGAACTTGTTGATCAACTTGCCGAAAACACACATAACTTATGGGCCAAAGAGCGTATTCAACAAGGGTGGACTTATGGTCTCAATGAAGACCCCGACATGTTCAGAAGTCCGCATCTGGTGCCTTACGGCAAGGTCGACGAGGCTATCAAGAAAGCCAATCGGGACACTGCCTCGGAAACTGTGAGGACGCTACTGGTTTATGGATATGTCATTGATCCACCAACAGGAGAACAACAAGAAAGTAATATCTTAGAAAAAATAGAAGTTTCAAGCAAGTTACTACCTCTTTTTTATATTTCAGCTTTGTTGGCGGATGCTATTCGCCAGAAACAAGCTGCTTTCAGGACTTACCGCGTTGAAAAAACGTACGCGGTCAACTCGGGCAAATGGTACTTCGAGTTTGAAATTTTAACCGCCGGTCCCATGCGAGTTGGTTGGGCAAAATCCGACTGTCCACCTGGGGCAATGCTGGGCGCTGATGAAAGCACCTGGGCCTTTGACGGTTTCAATGTAAGCGTTTTGCTAAGCTCAACTCTATGTGATATCAGTGTGATGTGTTTATTATTTCCAATTATTATTTTATTTTATTTTCTGTTAATATTTTTGAATTTCCTATGGTTAATTAAGAAACTTAAGATACACGGAAATCAAGCTTATCATTTTGGCCTCAAGTATATGGTTGGCGACATAATCGGTTGCTTTTTAGATTTAAGTGATCACACAATTAGTGAGTTTTTATTTTTTCCATTTTTGTTTAGTTATATTTTAATTGTTTTTGTTTGGTTTACACAATTTACAATTAAACTGTTTACGTTTAAGTGTTTCCTTAGCATGCTAAGTGTTGGTGTATTTTTTGTCGTTCGTTTAGGAAGAGAAAGTTTATTGCAATTCGGCGGAATCGTTCGGAAAGCAGTGGCAAGTTGGAGACGTGGTTGGCGTATTTCTAGATGTCATTGATCATACGATTAGTAAGAGTTCTTTTTCAATCAAATACTTATATGCAGTTCGATCTTACTAATTCAATTTTTACTTGCAATACGATTGGCTTTTTGCTAACTGCTTTTGTAAATTAATTCAAACGTATTTAGCAGCGTGTGTTATATACATTCGTACGCATGGAACAAAAAAGAAACAGAAAAATACCTGGGTTATTTTCTTATAACTTATCTAGCAAAAATAAAAATTAAGAAGTATTAAAAGTATATAAACCAGTTCAAATATTTTGTGTCAGATAAAATTCACGTAGTTTTAATAATATCACGCACTGCATGTTTTGTTGCAATCCCTGTTACTTACAAACGCATGTTCGTTATGAATGAAAACAGATTTTAAAGAGTTATTTTTATTAGGTTTTTCATTGAATGGTGAATTACTAATGGACGCCTTGGGCGGTGAGACCACATTTGCTGATGTGCAGGGTGACAATTTCGTCCCTGCATTTACACTAGGCGTAGGACAAAAAGCGCGCTTGTGTTTCGGCCAGGACGTTACCCAACTAAAATGGTTCACCACTTGCGGTCTGCAAGAAGGATACGAGCCATTCTGCGTTAATATGAACCGATTTGTCACCTACTGGTACACCAAGGACCAACCGATATTCGAAAATACTGATGATATGCCCGATACAAAGATTGATGTCACCAGAATCCTTGCTGGTTCGGATAGTCCGCCAGCATTGAAGATTAGTCACAATACGTTTGAGACAATGGAGAAGGCAAACTGGGAGTTTTTAAGATTGAGTTTGCCTGTCATTTGTCATTCGGAATTTATCACGTAAATGATTATAGTTTTACTTGCAATAATTTCCTTAATTAATTTTTAATTCTTTAATCTAGCGAGGAAGAAAAGATTCGACGCTGGCAAGAAATTAAACTACGTCAACATCGTTTGCGTATTGAAGCGGAAAGCCAAGTAGCCACAAACCCAGCACACATTGAGCAAATAATGAAAAGTGGATTCTCCATGAGTGACATTAAAGGACTTCAGAGAAACTACGCGGAAGATGCAGTCGAAGCTGATGAAGTTGTAGGCAAAAAGAAAACTCCAGGTCGTCCGCCACGAAAAGGTTCCATTCCTCGGGCCCAATTTGAAGGAGACAGTATGTACTAGTAAGAAAATAAAATGGAGATATTGATCTGAATCTAATTCTCTTATAGCGTTAGCTGCAAACACAAACATGCAACGTTCCACAAGCGAATTGAATATGGAAAACACAGACGACAAAAAGAAACGTGGTCGTTCCCCTTTCAGGTATGATTCTAATCTCTATGCATAATAAATTAATAACCATAACATTTTAATTTACATACCATGCATAGTTTAAGGCTACTTAGCCTACATAAAAGGTACTAATAGTATTGGTGTGGTGTTTTTCACAAACACAGAGTGATTATTTTACACAAGTGTGATGCCCATGTAAATTGAGTAAATTTTGATTTTTATATTTGTAAATTTAGGTTTTTCAAGAAAAGAGATGCTGGTGCAAGTGCCGAACGTAACAAGACAAAGGCCAAAACCCCTGAACCAGAACCACCAGTACAAGTATCCAACACCATGTTAAACCGACAACCAACAATGAAACAATCACAATCTGAACTGCCTTCTCAGCACCAACTCTCTGTCCCGACTTCATCGGACGTAGAAGCCATCGGTAATGAATTATTCGATGCGGAATGCCTTAAACTCATCAATGAGTACTTCTATGGTGTCCGAGTATTCCCCGGTCAGGATCCAACTCACGTCTATGTTGGCTGGGTGACAACACAATATCACAGTTTCACAAAAGATTTCAACCAGAATCAAGTCCTAAAGGCCTCTGTAGTCATTGTAGATGATTATGATCAAGTGGTTGATTATATCGATCGTCAAACGTGTTACATGGTTAGAGCGGATGAGCTCTACAATGAAGTGAATCAAGAAGCTTCGGGTAAAGCAGCATCTCAGGGAATGTTTATCGGTTGTTTCGCTGACGCTGCCACAGGGATAATCTCTTTTACCTGCGAGGGCAAAGGCACTCGACATTGCTACAAAATGGAACCGGATACTAAATTGTTCCCGGCTATTTTCATTGAAGCAACGAGCAAAGATTGTCTGCAATTTGAACTAGGTAGAACTGCTACAACGCTACCATTGTCAGCAGCTGTATTACAGAACAGTTCTAAACATGTGATCCCTCAGTTCCCACCAAGATTGAAGGTGCAGTGTTTGAAACCTCATCAATGGGCGAGGGTACCTAATCAAAGTCTTCAAGTACACGCATTGAAACTGTCAGATATTCGCGGTTGGTCAATGTTATGCGAGGACGCTATTTCTATGCTTGCTCTTCACATCCCTGAAGAAGACAGATGTATCGATATTTTGGAACTGATCGAAATGGATAAACTCTTGTCCTTCCACGCACACACCTTAACACTATACGCGGCTTTGTGTTATCAGAGCAATTACAGAGCTGCACACGCTTTGTGCAGACATGTGGATCAGAAACAACTTTTGTATGCTATCAAAGCAGAATATATGAGTGGTCCACTCAGGCAAGGATTCTATGATTTGCTCATTGCTATTCATTTGGAATCACATGCAACAACAATGTAAGTTTATTAAATACCAGTATGAATGTTAAAAACTTATTCTGTTATTTTTGACTTTAGGGAAAACTGCAAAAAGGAATATGTTATCCCACTTGGTCCACAACTCAAAGAACTCTATGAAGATGACGAGATGAAGCACAGTTTGAAAAATCTGCAAGTAGAATCAGTAATGCCGCAAATGAAAATGACAGACATTACGGACTCTATTGATAAAATTGTAAATTTATACTCCCCATACTTCCCACTGGATGTTGTACGTGATTATATCATGCAAGCATTGACGGAAGCAGTAGAAGCCAATCAGGTTCACAACCGGGACCCTATTGGTGGTTCAAATGAAAACCTCTTCGTGCCATTACTCAAACTCTTGGATAGATTGTTGTTGGTGGGTATGCTTACCGATGAAGATATAATAAAACTGCTCACTATGGTACACCCGGAAACCTGGGATGAAAACTTTGACAGGGAAGGTAAAGACGAGCATCGCAAAGGTCTCCTCGAAATGAAGATTTCTGAAGGTGCTAAATTACAAATGTGCTACTTATTGCATCATCTTAATGACGTGCAGTTGCGTCACAGAGTAGAATCCATCATTGCGTTTTCTCATGACTACGTAGGAGAACTGCAAACTGACCAGTTGCGCCGTTACATCGAGATTAAACAATCTGATCTTCCATCTGCTATAGCCGCCAAAAAGACACGTGAATTCCGTTGCCCTCCACGAGAACAAATGAAGGCTATCTTATCTTTTAAGAACCTCGAAGAAGACGATAAAGAAAATTGTCCAATCGGTGAAGACCTCTGTGAAAAGATGAACGAGTTCCATGCTGTTTTGATGCATCATGTCTCTCTGAAAGCTTTGGAAGCTCCGCCTGAAGAAGAAGTCACAGAGGAAGTAGTTAAACCAAACGCGTTCAAACGCCTGTACAATTTTATCAATGCAGTTAAGGAATTAGAAGTTGAGCCAAAAGAACCTGAAGAGCCCGAGAAGAAAACTCCTGAAGAAATATTCAGGAAAGTACTTATCGCAACTATTGTCAGGTGGGCTGAGGAAACCCAAATTGAACTACCAAAACTGGTTCAGGAGATGTTCAATCTCCTCGTAAGGCAATACGACTCAGTTGGTGAATTGATCCGCGCTTTGAGCAAAACCTACGTAATCAACTCTAAAACAAAGCATGACGTTGCTGAGATGTGGGTAAGCTTAAGTCAAATTCGCGCCTTGCTGCCAGTACAAATGTCTCCCGAAGAAAAGGAACTAATGCGCATGCGTTTGTGGAAATTCGTAAATAATCACACATTCTTCCAACATCCTGATTTGATTCGCGTCTTGCGTATCCATGAAAACGTCATGGCAGTCATGATAAATACCCTGGGCCGCAGATCACAGGAACAAACCGAAGCTAGCGCAGCTCCAACTGGTGAAGGTGAGGCCGTACCAAAGAGCAAAGATACTACTCATGAGATGGTGGTCGCTTGTTGTCGTTTCTTGTGTTATTTCTGTCGTACTGGTCGCCAAAATCAAAAGGCCATGTTCGAACACTTTGACTTCTTATTGGACAACAGTAACATTCTGTTATCACGACCGAGCCTTCGTGGGTCAACACCTTTGGACGTTGCCTATTCATCACTGATGGAAAACACTGAATTAGCTTTGGCCCTGCGTGAACACTACCTCGAGAAAATTGCTATCTATTTATCTCGTTGTGGTTTACAATCCAATTCTGATTTGGTCGAGAAGGGTTACCCTGATTTAGGTTGGGATCCAGTCGAAGGTGAACGTTATCTCGACTTCCTTCGTTACTGCGTCTGGGTTAATGGTGAATCCGTGGAGGAAAACGCCAACTTGGTCATTCGTTTACTAATCAGAAGACCAGAATGTTTGGGTCCTGCCCTTAGAGGTGAAGGAGAAGGTTTAATGAGAGCCATTGTGGAAGCAAACAAAATGTCCGAACGAATCAGTGATCGTCGTAAACTAATGAATGATGAAGCTGAAGGCACTGTTAATTGTGCCCAATTCCAACATCCATTACCTGAGAGTGATGACGATGAAGATTATATCGATACCGGTGCTGCTATTTTGACCTTCTACTGTACCCTAGTAGATCTTCTCGGTAGATGTGCTCCAGATGCGGCGGTTATTGCTCAGGGAAAGAACGAATCACTCAGAGCAAGATCTATTCTTAGATCTTTGGTACCACTGGAAGATTTGCAAGGTGTATTGAGTTTGCGCTTCACTATCATGAACCCAGCCGCCGGTGAAGAAAGACCCAAATCAGACATGCCATCTGGTTTATTGCCTGGTAACAAACAGTCTATTGTACTATTCTTGGAACGTGTTTACGGTATTGAAACTCAGGAATTGTTCTTCAAATTGCTTGAAGAAGCATTCTTGCCGGATCTTCGTTGTTGTACAATTCTTGATAGAGTAAGTTAAAATTTTAAATTGTATAGTGGTATTCTTCATAAAATTCTGTTATTTTCAGAATGATGGTAGTGAATCTGACATGGCGCTCAGCATGAATCGCTACATGGGTAATTCAATTCTTCCTCTGCTCATCCAACATAGCAGATTCTACTCTGAAGTGGAAAACTATGCTTCCCTCTTGGACGCGGCTTTGCACACCGTGTACCGTTTGTCTAAAAACCGAATGTTGACTAAAGGTCAACGTGATGGTGTTTCTGACTTCTTGGTGGCTTTAACAAGCCAGTTGCACCCGTCAATGATGTTGAAGCTTCTTCGTAAGCTGACAGTTGACGTATCCAACTTATCTGAATACACCACAGTTGCTTTGCGCCTGTTGACATTACATTACGATCGTTGTGGTAAATATTACGGCTCTACTGGTGGAGGTGCCGGCAGTCAATTTGGTTCCTCCACTGATGAGGAGAAACGTCTCACTATGATTCTTTTCTCAAACATTTTCGACTCTCTAAGTAAAATGGAATACGATCCGGAGTTATTCGGTAAAGCCTTGCCTTGTCTGACTGCTATTGGATGCGCTTTACCTCCAGATTACTCTTTATCAAAGAACTTTGATGATGAATGTTATGGTAACAAAGCCTGTAGCCCTGATGGACCTTATGATCCAGAACCTATTAATACCTCAGCTGTTGTGCTTAACAACGACTTAAACTCCATAGTTCAGAAGTTTTCGGAACACTATCACGATGCTTGGGCAAGTAGGAAGTTAGAAAGTGGTTGGCAACATGCCGACCAATGGTCTGATGCTAACAAGACCCATCCAAGGTTGAAGCCTTACACTATGCTAAGTGATTATGAAAAAGAAAGATACAAAGAACCCGTACGAGAATCACTCAAAGCCCTTTTGGCCTTGAAATGGACTATTGAGCATACCGAAGTTGATGTACCATCAAATCAAAGGAATTCAATCAGAAGATCTTCCAAAATGGAAGCAAACTCCGCCATGAACTATAATCCACATCCAGTAGATATGACCAATTTGACTTTGTCTCGTGAAATGCAGAATATGGCCGAACGATTGGCCGAAAACGCTCATGATATTTGGTCAAAGAAGAAGAAAGAGGAGTTACACATTAATGGTGGTGGTTTCCCTTCGCAGCTGGTACCATACGACCTACTCACTGACAAAGAAAAGAAAAAGGACAGGGAGCGTTCCCAAGAGTTCTTAAAGTACATGCAGTATCAAGGTTACAAACTTCATAGACCAAAACCACCAGGTCAAGAAGACGCACAAGGAGGTGCCGGACCTGCTATTGAATTACGTTTCTCATACAGTCTGCTGGAGAAACTGATTCAATATCTAGATCGTGCTACTATCAACATGAAACTGCTCAAACCATCAGCAACATTCAGTCGTCGAAATTCATTCAGTACCTCAACACGCGATATTAAATTCTTCTCTAAGGTGGTGTTGCCATTGATGGAGAAATACTTCTCAACTCATAGAAGTTATTTCATTGCTGTCGCAACTGCAACTAACAACGTAGGAGCTGCATCCTTGAAAGAAAAGGAAATGGTTGCGGCCCTATTCTGTAAATTAGCCAATTTGCTACGTTCTAAATTACAAGCATTCGGTGCAGATGTCCGCATTACTGTACGCTGTCTTCAAGTGCTTGTCAAAGCTATCGACGCCAAGTCATTAGTAAAGAATTGCCCTGAATTTATCCGTACATCTATGTTGACGTTCTTCAACAACACTGCTGATGATCTTGGTCACACTATCATCAACTTACAAGAAGGGAAATACAGTCACCTTAGAGGAACTCATCTCAAAACCTCAACATCATTATTTTATGTCAATCATGTTCTCTTGCCAGTGTTAACTGCATTATTTGACCATTTGGCAAATTGCGAGTATGGAAGTGATTTGCTCCTTGATGAAATTCAGGTTGCTTCGTACAAGATCCTAGCGGCATTGTACATCTTAGGTACTGATAATACACTCACGCATGACAGGAAATATCTGAAGACTGAGATTGAAAGACATAAACCTGCGCTGGGTTCATGCCTAGGCGCATTTGGGTCTTGCTTCCCGGTGGCATTCTTGGAACCACACATGAATAAACATAATCCGTATTCTTTGCTTAATAGAATTGCTGATCATTCACTAGAAGCTCAGGGTAATTATACTTGTAGAGAGAAGTCTTATGGATGGTTAATGATGATTGTTTTGTAGATATTATGGTTAAGATGGAACAACAAATGCCAACTCTAGAGGCAATTCTGGCTGAAGTGGACCAATATGTAGAAAGTGAAAAAACTTACAATGAAGATATGCACATTATCGATGTGACCATGCCTATGCTCTGTTCATATCTTCCCATTTGGTGGGGACAAGGACCAGATAATGTCAGCCCTACCGGAGGGTAAGTCTAATTATAATTATTGAAGCAGCAGATTGTCATTAAATTTATTCTAGTAATCATGTTACAATGGTAACAGCCGAACATATGAATCAGTTATTAAAGAACGTACTGAAACTTATCCGTAAAAACATCGGCAACGAATCAGCACCCTGGATGACCCGCATCGCTGCATACACTCAACAAATCATTATCAACAGCAGTGAAGAATTGCTCAAAGACGTCTTCCTGCCATTGGCAGAAAGAGTTAAGAAACGCACAGAAACAATGTACCACAAAGAAGAATCTCTGCGTGGTTTTATCAAGAGCTCCTCAGATGACACATCACAAGTTGAGGCGCAGATACAAGAAGACTGGCATCTTCTCGTCAGAGATATCTACTCCTTCTACCCACTTCTAATCAAATACGTTGATTTGCAGCGTAACCATTGGTTGCGTAATAACATTGAAGAAGCTGAAGGATTATACAATCATATCGCTGAGATCTTTAATATCTGGTCGCGCAGTCAATACTTCCTCAAGGAAGAACAAAACTTCATATCTGCTAATGAGATTGACAACATGGTGTTGATCATGCCAACTGCAACTAGAAGGACCGTAGTCTCTGATGGTGCACAACAAGGTGGTGGTGGTAAAAAGAAGAAGAAGAACCGTGATAAGAAACGTGACAAAGCAAAGGAAATTCAAGCATCATTAATGGTTGCTTGCCTAAAGAGATTGTTACCCGTAGGTCTTAATTTATTCGCTGGTAGGGAACAGGAATTGGTACAACATTGCAAAGATCGCTTCCTGAAAAACGTCTCCGAGCAAGAAATCTCTGATTTCGCTAAGATGCAATTAACATTGCCAGATAAAATCGATCCCAGCGATGAAATGTCATGGCAACATTTCCTCTACAGTCAATTAGGCAGCAAGAAATGCGTAACTGTGAACACCACAGATTCCAATGGTAACAATCCTTTGGAGGAGACTGTTGGACGTATTGTTGCAATGGCGAAAGTACTTTACGGTTTGCACATGGTAAATACACATATCTATTGCTTTAAATAATCATTTTCACACTTCTTTTATTATTTGATATTAAATTTGTTTTATTAGATTGATCATCCACAACAAACACAAAAAGGCGTTTATCGCAGTTGCGTGTCAACGCAAAGAAAGCGAGCTGTACTTATGTGTTTCCGTCAAGCGTCATTACACAGTTTGCCAAGGTTTGTTTTTGTTTTACAGCACCAAACTCCTTCATAAATTGTATAATTTAATTCGCTAACATGAAATTTTAACCTTTGATGTGTTTCTGTGTTTACTAATTAACTAATCACTAATTCTAGGCGACACGTCCAAAAAATAAAAGGGATGGTTGGGGTCGTTTGTTGAACGCTGCTAGAAAACGTGCAGCTGTTGCTTGTTTAAGGTGTAAACCTCTGTATAAGATAAGCAGGTTGTTACTAACCGTCTAATTTTATATCGCTCAATTTGTTAATATAATTTCATTCACAGACATCGTGCGTGTAACTTATTCGCAAGGACTTATTATGAATTGTGGCTACAAGATGAGAATGTGGGACAAGAAGTCCTCATTGAAGACTTGACACAGAGTTTCGAGGACTCCGAATTAAAGAAGAAGGATGAAGAGGAAGAAGAAGGTAAACCCGATCCACTAACCCAATTGGTAACCACCTTCTGTAGAGGAGCCATGACGGAACGTTCTGGTGCTTTACAAGAAGATCCTTTGTATATGAGCTATGCGGAGATCATCGCTAAATCTTGCGGTGAAGAAGAAGAAGAGGGTGGTGAGGAAGAAGAAGGCGGAGAGGGTGAAGAAGGAGGTGCTTCCATTCATGTAAGTTATTTATACACAATACTATTGTATGTAAAGTAGAATTAAACACTAAACTCTAACTGTTTTGCTTGTTGGCTAACAAAAGATGAAAATGAAAATTACTTCAATGGAGAAGTTTTGGGTAACGAATACTAATTTTGTACTATCCATTGTCCTAACGTCAACAAAAAAGTACTAATTGTGTTTTTAAATAGGAACAAGAAATGGAGAAGCAAAAATTGTTGTTTGCTCAAGCACGACTTGCGAATCGTGGCGTTGCTGAAATGGTCCTCCTTCACATTTCTGCCAGTAAAGGTGTCCAATCAGAAATGGTTATGAAAACCCTTCAACTTGGTATCTCTATTCTTCGTGGTGGTAATGTAGACATCCAAATGGGTATGCTCAACCATCTTAAAGATAAGAAAGATGTCGGCTTCTTCACGAGTATCGCTGGTTTGATGAACAGTTGCAGTGTCTTAGATCTTGACGCTTTCGAACGTAACACCAAAGCGGAAGGTCTTGGTGTTGGTTCTGAAGGTGCCGCCGGCGAGAAGAACATGCACGACGCTGAATTCACCTGCGCCTTGTTCCGATTTATCCAACTGACTTGCGAAGGTCACAACTTAGAATGGCAGAATTATCTGCGTACCCAAGCAGGTAACACCACCACAGTCAACGTGGTTATCTGCACTGTCGATTACCTGCTGCGTCTACAAGAATCCATTATGGACTTCTACTGGCACTACTCCAGTAAGACTCTCATTGACCCAGCTGGTAAAGCCAACTTCTTCAAAGCTATTGGGGTCGCTAGTCAGGTTTTCAACACCTTGACTGAAGTAATTCAAGGTCCTTGCACTCTCAATCAGCAAGCATTGGCTCATTCAAGATTGTGGGATGCCGTTGGCGGTTTCCTCTTCCTCTTTTCTCACATGCAGGATAAACTATCGAAACATTCTAGTCAAGTGGACTTGCTCAAGGAGTTATTGAATTTGCAAAAGGACATGATCACCATGATGCTCTCCATGCTTGAAGGTAACGTCGTAAATGGCACCATTGGTAAGCAGATGGTTGACACTCTGGTAGAAAGCGCATCAAACGTAGAGATGATCCTTAAGTACTTCGACATGTTCCTGAAACTGAAAGACCTCATATCGTCCCCTAGCTTCCAAGAAGTGGATCCCAACAATGAGGGATGGGTGCTTCCCAAAGACTTTAAAGAAAAGATGGAACAAGCAAAGAGTTACACTCCGTAAGTATTTACCCTTTAATAAAAACTGAATACTAATGTGTATTCTTCATTCCAGTGAAGAAATCGAGTTCCTGCTTGCTTGCTGTGAAGTGAACCACGAAGGAAAAGTTGACTACGTTGCGTTCGTCGATCTCTTCCATGAACCATCAGCTGAAATCGGTTTCAACTTGGCTGTATTGTTGACAAATCTATCTGAGCACATGCCAAATGAACCTCGCCTTGCCCGCTTCCTGGAAACAGCTGGATCCGTATTGAACTACTTCGAGCAATTCTTGGGCCGCATTGAAATCATGGGCGGCAGCAAACGTATTGAACGTGTTTACTTCGAAATCAAGGAATCAAACATCGAGCAATGGGAGAAACCGCAAATTAAAGAGTCTAAACGTGCGTTCTTCTACTCCATCGTCACTGAGGGTGGTGACAAAGAAAAACTGGAAGCTTTCATTAACTTCTGTGAGGATGCTATCTTTGAAATGCAGCACGCTAGTGCACTTATGACAGTCGAAGAATCCGGTGGACCGGGTGCTAACAGAACAACTAGTTATAAATACATGGGTGAAGATGACGAAGAAAGAGCTGGAAACCCAATTACACGCAGCATTCAGAGCGTTAAGGATGGTATCGCCTATGGATTGAGTTCATTGTCGCCTACGAATATTAAAAACAAGATGGCCGAGATGCAACAGATGACTATTTACGAACTTATTGTAGCGTTCTTCAAAAATATCTACTTGGTCTTCTACTATTCTGGTTACGGTGTTTCATGTGTCTTTGGGTAAGTAATTCCAAACATTTAATTATAATGTACACTAACTAACAAAATGGATGAATATCTTTACAAAGCGTACTAATAATACTTTTTGGAAAACGTGCCAGGTATTCTAATTTGTGTCAAATTCATCATTATACTAATGAAAATTTAATTTAGTTACTTCGGTGGAATCTTAATGAATCTGATGCGAGGACCACAACAAGAAGAACCTCAGGAAACTACAAAGGAAGAAGAAAAACCACACTTGAGAATGTTACCAGCGTTACCAGCAACTGACGAACCGGCAGGACAAATGCAAGCGTTTGGATTAGACATAACTAAAGAAGAAGGCGGACAGTAAGTTTCATAGAACTTTTCCTATAGTTTCCCTAATGATAACTTAAATTTCTGTATTAATTCAGAATGAAAATGGCACCACATGAATCACCCACTGGTTCCCATCAATCGTCCATGGAAGGAGAAGGAGAAACAACATCCGAAGAAGGTGCAGAACACCCAGATGGCGAACGCCCAGTTGAACCAGTCTCTCTACAAGATCTCCTCGGTGGTGAAGCAGCAAAACGTGCAGCACAAGAAAAAGCCGAAGCTGCAGCCGCACAACAAGCCGCAATGGCCGCCATTGAATCTGAAGTTAAGCAACAAACAACTGCCGAACCTTCAGCGGCCTCAGAATTCAACCTGGGTGCCTACACTCAGAAATGTGTATCCTTCTTAGCTAGACATTTCTATAACCTGAAATACCTTGCGTTGGTTTTGGCTTTCTGTATCAACTTTATGCTCCTCTTCTACAAAGTAAGTCGAACCAAGTTGAACCAATCTAAATTTACTTTCAAAATAAACCTTTTAGGTGTCAACATTGGGTGAAGATGAAGGTGGCAGCGGTGCTGGTGGCAGTGGTGATGATTTATTAGGCTCAGGATCTGGTGCTTCTGGTGCGGATGATGGCGGCAGTGGAGGAGGGGGATCAGGCGATGGATCAGAGGAAGAAGAAGATCCTTTAGAACTGGTACACGTCGACGAAGATTACTTCTACATGGAACACGTAATGCGATTAGCGGCAATGATACATAGTTTAGTCTCACTAGCTATGCTCGTTGCCTATTACCACCTCAAAGTACCACTGGCTATCTTCAAACGTGAAAAAGAAATTGCTCGACGACTAGAATTCGACGGTCTGTACATTGTTGAACAACCAGAGGACGATGATCTAAAATCACATTGGGATAAACTTGTAATATCAGCAAAGTCGTTCCCAGTTAACTACTGGGACAAGTTTGTTAAAAAGAAAGTCCGACAAAAGTACAGCGAGACCTACGACTTTGATTCTATGAGTAATCTCCTGGGTATGGAAAAGACCTCATTCGCTGCTGAACAAGAAGAAGAGCCTAAAGGCATTATTGCCTTTATCCTACGCATTGACTGGCGTTATCAAGTGTGGAAAGCAGGCGTAACATTCACAGACAATTCATTCTTGTATTCCTTGTGGTACTTTACATTCAGTATCCTCGGAAATTTCAACAACTTCTTCTTCGCTGCTCATTTACTGGATGTCGCTGTCGGTTTCAAAACCTTGAGAACCATCTTACAGTCAGTAACGCACAACGGCAAACAATTAGTGTTGACTGTCATGTTGCTCACGATTATTGTGTATATCTACACTGTGATTGCGTTTAACTTCTTCAGGAAGTTCTATGTGAGCGAAGAGGACGATGAGGTTGATAAAAAATGTCATGATATGTTAACGTGCTTCGTATTCCATTTGTACAAAGGTGTGAGAGCTGGTGGTGGCATCGGTGATGAAATTGAACCACCAGATGGTGATGATTACGAAGCATATCGTATCATGTTCGACATCACTTTCTTCTTCTTCATTATTGTCATCTTGTTGGCCATCATTCAGGGTAAGTCAAAAAGTTTACCCTGCAAATCCATCTTAAATCATTTTTGATTTGTTCCAGGTTTGATCATTGATGCTTTTGGTGAGCTTCGTGATCAACTCGAGAGTGTGAAGGAGGACATGGAGTCCAACTGCTTCATATGTGGTATAGGAAAAGATTACTTTGATAAAGTGCCGCACGGGTTCGACACGCACGTGCAGCAAGAACATAACTTGGCCAATTACATGTAAGAGACTAACATCTTCTTTGAACTATAAAAATCTATAACTAATTTTGTGTCATAGGTTCTTCCTGATGCACTTAATTAACAAACCGGATACTGAATATACTGGTCAAGAAACGTACGTATGGAATATGTACCAACAACGATGCTGGGACTTCTTCCCAGTGGGTGACTGTTTCCGTAAACAGTATGAAGAAGAATTGGGCGGCGGAGGAGGCTAGCGAGGTAATATCCCCGCCAGCGCCATCGGAACAATTAAATGATTCTTATGTATTTTACAAATTGTGAAATTGTGACAAATTCAAACCAAAAACAAACTAAACATAATGAAATACCAAATTTTTGAAGAGTAAAATATAGTTAATAGTGATTACAAGAAAGAAACACATAATAATCACATATTTTACTACGGTTTTTAAACTTAGCTCAATTTTATCATTGCATAAAATCTACCATTAATCATTACATTGTCGATAACTTAGTGAAATTTAGACGCTGTTACGACGAAATGTTCTTATTTTACTGCGAAAATAATTATACTCAGATTCCATCAAAAAAAGTTACATACACAGCGTTAAGATTGCAGTGTAATTATTTTTCCACGAGAAAAATGGAACCAATTTCGTACCAGCGGGCGTATTGATGGTTGTTTGTTTTACATTTTGCTGTTTTCTGTTCATGTAATTATCTTATCTTATAAATATCGAAGCGAATTGTGTGGCAAATTTTCAAACGATAACTAATTAACAAAAAAACGGTATGAAATCGAAATTTTAATACTGTTAAGGAGGTTTTAATGATATCTAGTTGACGAGCGTTTTGAGTGCTCAGCAAGTATTGATAGACATCTTTTTAAAACATCTCAGATAGTTGTTGTTGGCGGAGACGCGGAAGAAAGAAAATGAAATAAAGTAAATCTATTACAAACATATCTATTTAATTAATATTAGGATGTATAAGTTGTCTTTATGAGTATGAAATTGAAAGTACTTAATAAATTCATTTGAAAACTTACCGAGTTGTTATTTACTGCCGAAAATGATAAGGAATGGACAATGTTGAGCCACGCGCCATGCTGGTTTGTGCATGCTGGACCACTTTGAGTCTTGAACCACGAGATTTTATGCCCCGCGCGTGTATAATGGATATTTTAACCACGAACGCGAAATATTTACTTTATTCACGGGTAGAAAAACGACCATAGAACCGTTTCTATGCAACGCGCGCATTGTTAGCTTTAAGGTTACATTGTGCATTAACTATATCAACTGCATAAAGTGCAAAATCGCACATTGCACGCGGAAGGTGACCTTCTCTTGGAGGGGTATAACTACCTAAATAACAAACAAAATCCCGCTCTTTCCTAATAAAATAAAACCGGTGTAAATATATAAATTCAGTAACTTTTAATTTTTCTTAACTTTACGGTTGGCAACTTAAATTAATCTTTACAATCATCAATTCCGCCAGTGGTAATAGCAAACTTAGTTTCCTCCGCTTCAAATTCAGGACTATCAAATAAATGCGCAAAGCGACGATTACCAATACCTTTTTTCAGCGCAATGCGAGTAGTGCTACTATGCGCCATGACGTGTCCTCCGACTGGTTTAGCCTCGTCCTTCATGGCGGAGAAGTCCGAAACGATTTGATTGGTAATAAAGACGGCAATGTTGTATTCTTCGCTCATTTTCTGCAGACGCGACAACATTTGCCCAAGTTTGTTTTGTCTATCAGCCAATTCACCCATTCCTGTGTAATCTACACGAAACAGCGCCATAATTGAATCAATTATGAGCAACTTAAAAAAGCCCGGTTCTTGATGCATTTTTGCTGCGACATTGTTTAACAAATTAAACTGATGCTCAGAATTATAAGCACGTGCATATAACACATTTTCCAATACTTTGGTTTGGTTCAAATTATAACGATCGGCGATTGGTCGTAGACGATCAGGACGACTAAAGTTAGAAAATATAATTTAATATTTAAAACAAATCATAACTATGCAACTATTAGTAAAGAAAATTACTTACAAAGTGTGTTCAGTATCAATAAAGATTACTTTCCCACCAACATATCCATTTGAACCAGGCATTTGAGCAGTAACACACAAAGTATGTGCTAGTTGAGTCTTACCACTGCCAAACTCACCAAAAACTTCAGTAATAGACATAGGCTCTATTCCACCACCCAATAATTGACTATAACAAATAATTTATACGTTAGTAAACTAGTAATGCAATTTAAAAAGTGTAGTTATTACTTGAGTCGTTTGCTGCCAGTGCTAAGTTTAAAAATTTGCTGTCTCACGGTCGATAGTTCAATCGCTGTCATAAAACCGGACGAAGCATTAAGACTTCCGCAGATATCTAAAATCCTTTCAATTTTGATGTCATCCAAACCAATCTCTCTCATGTTCTTCTTCATGGTCATTTGAATGCCTTTTATGGTATTAATGCCAATCTTCTTAAACTTCTTTATGTCCACTTCGTCGATGCCATATTCTAGAAGCATTGTAATATCTTGAAATGATGAGTCTTCTTCGGAAGATACATTGGACACATTCACTGCATCTACTGCTATCATTGATGAATCAGCAGCTTCAGCTACTTCAGGATATTGTTCCATAACAGCCGACATTGTGTGCACTTTGTTTCACAGTTTTAAAAAGCGAGTAACGTTAAAAAATGGCGCAAGAAGTTCTAACTGTTGAGTTTGTTTTGAACGCATGCGGTCTAGCTCCACAATTGGTGTAATATTAGTTGCCGACTTCAACGTGCAAGAAGATAATTAAAGAAGATTTTTGGTATTTACATAAATTAAACTAGATTTTAATAAAAATAATTAGATAAAAGTTAGTATATTTAAAGACCACTCGCCTAGCTATAGATTATAATAAGTACAATATAGTGTTGAAAACTTGTTGAAACAAATAAAAATTCATAAAAGTGACGTAGTACGCCGCGTAGTGGGCCTCGATCAAACTATCAGAGCAACGTCTGTCACGTGACCGCTTTCAATTTGACAAATATAATCGGCTAGCCAACGAAAAAGCCCGTGTACATTTTTTCGTTGTTTCCTGAAATTGTTGCGTGATTCTAATATTCTTACTCGACGACGAACACAGCCTTCCTCAGGAGGATAACAGAGATGGAGACGAAGAAGCTGATCGAGTTGCTGCGAGCCACCATCGACCCCGGCCAGCGGCAACAGGCGGAGGAGCAACTGACTCAGGTTGGAAAACCACATGTGCTCAAAACATGTGTCTCACGTTTCGTTTTCGATTTTTACGCAAACTACGCGATGATATCGAAGGAAACTCCTACACCTATTTGTTTATTACATTTCTAATGGAATAGAAAAAAGGAAAATGTAAACGTGCATTTCCTCGATTTGCCATCGAGGTCGAGCGCTGTTAAATCTATAATGTGCTGCCCTAACCTCCACGCGCCAGATTTGCATGAAATTCCGCGCTATGAATCATTTAAAATTCATGCAGGTCACGTTGGGAGTACAACTCACATTACTATCGCAACGTGGAGCGCCATGCGAAAGTTTTACGACTTGAAATGATTTTGATGATTTTGTTTTTATATCCTAGATACATAAAATTATTGGATTTGCACCAGCACTCTTGCAAGTTGTGATGGCAAACGAATGCGAGATGCCCGTGCGACAGGCCGGCGCAATCTACCTAAAAAATCTTATATCACAAAGTTGGGCTGAGAGGGAAGCTGAGATACCTATGCCATTGCCATTTGCTGTACATGAACAGGACAGAGCACTCATTAGGGATTCTATTGTGGATGCTGTGGTGCACGCTCCGGACCTCATTCGACTACAGTTATGTACGTGTGTGAACAACATGATCAAACATGATTTTCCCGGACGGTGGACTCAAATTGTTGACAAAGTAAATTCAATACCCAACTGGATTCATCTTCTTATTCATTGATTGTCATAAATTTCAGATTAGTATATATTTATCAAGTCCAGATGCCTCTGGTTGGCATGGTGCCATTTTGTGTCTTTACCAGTTGGTGAAAAACTACGAATATAAAAAGTCTGACGATCGGGGGCCACTGCACGAGGCGATGAACTTATTATTGCCACTGTTGTATCAACTCATCGTTAGACTTATGCCGGATTCATCTGATCTTGCAGTTCTGCTGCAGAAAGAAGGATTGAAGGTGTATTTTGCTCTCACACAGTACACACTACCACTGGATTTGATTAACAAAGATATGTTTACACAATGGATGGAAATTTGCCGGTATTATTTTATTTAAATATTTTAGAGCATAAATTAAATGTTATTATTGTCAATTAGGCAAGTAGCAGAACGACCAGTGCCACCACAAGCTCTCCAGCCGGATGAAGATGAAAGACCTGACCTGCCTTGGTGGAAAGCTAAAAAGTGGGCGCTACACATTCTGTATCGAATGTTCGAGCGCTACGGATCGCCCGGTAATGTAACCAAAGAATACAACGAGTTCGCCGAATGGTACTTGCAAACATTCTCTTCTGGTGTATTGGAAGTCCTCTTACGCCTGTTGGACGCCTATCGCGCTGGTAACTGGCAACCACCACGTGTTCTCCAACAAACCCTCAACTATGTCAATCAAGCTGTATCGCACGGTCACACGTGGAAACTCCTCAAGCCTCATATGGGTGCCATAATACAAGACATCCTGTACCCACTGATGTCATATAGCGCCGAAGATGAAGAACTTTGGTCTGTCGACCCACATGAATACATCAGAGTGAAGTTCGACGTATTCGAAGATTTTATTTCGCCTGTTACCGCTGCGCAATCCCTTTTGCATGCTTCATGTAAAAAACGCAAAGACATGCTGCAGAAAACAATGGCGTTCTTAACCACAGTGTTGAACGATCCAAATACTGAACCGCAGCGTAAAGATGGTGCTCTGCACATGGTGGGATCATTAGCTGATGTACTATTAAAGAAGAAGATTTACAAAGAACAATTAGACCAACTGTTTTTGAAGTATGTCTTCCCAGAGTTTGGTAGTGCGAGAGGGCATATGCGAGCGCGCGCTTGTTGGGTGCTGCATTATTTCGCGGAAGCACCGTACAAACAGGAACCAGTTCTTGCCGAGGCAGTGCGTTTGACTGTCAATGCATTGTTGCAAGATAAAGAACTCCCAGTGAAAGTAGAGGCTGCGATTGCCCTGCAGAGTTTATTGAATTATCAAGATGGTGCGAATAAATACATCGAGACACAGGTGAAACAAATTGCCTTGGAATTGCTGACGATTATCCGCGAGACTGAGAATGAAGATGTCACCGGCGTGATGCAGAAGTTGGTGTGTGAATTCACGCAACAGCTTACACCGATTGCGGTTGAGATTTGCCAACATTTAGCAGCGACGTTTAGTCAAGTGTTAGACACTGATGAGGGGTCCGATGAGAAAGCCATCACTGCCATGGGCATTCTCAATACCATCGAGACACTGCTAACTGTGATGGAGGAACAACCAGAAGTTATGAAACAGTTAGAACCAACTGTGCTGCAAGTGGTCGCACATGTACTACAGAACGAGGTGCAGGAGTTTTATGAGGAAGTGTTATCGCTTATTTTTGATTGCACTGGCAAGCATATTTCTGAGGAGATGTGGAAAGTCTTTGAGTTACTTTACCAGGTATTTATGAAAAATGGTTTGGAGCATTTCACTGACATGATGCCAGCGCTGCACAATTACATCACAGTAGACACGGATGGCTTTTTGGCCAACGAGCAGCGACTGTTGGCTATTTACAACATGTGCAAGGAAATTTTGAGTAAAGACATGGGCGAAGACCCGAATGTCACGCAGCCAAACTTCTAGAAGTTTTATTGCTGCAGTACAAAAACCGCATTGATGCCGCAGCGCCATTATTGGTTGAATTGGCGGCGTCAAGGTTACTGAGAGAAGTGCGCACGAGTGAACTTAGAATAATGTGTTTACAGGTAAGTAAAAAGAAGTTTTAATTAAACACATGTTTTAAAATGCTATATTTTTGTATTTAGGTTCTTATAGCAGCTTTATATTATAGTCCGGAATTGTTATTCACTGTATTAGAAAAACTTCCGAACTTTACGTCGCAGTTTCTCACGCAGTGGTTACACGACGTTGATTGTTTCCTAGGCGTTCACGATAGGAAACTCTGTGTGATTGGTATGTGCACACTGATTAGCTTACCGCAACGACCTGCGATTCTTCACGAATTGGCACCGAAAGTAATGCCGGCTTTAGTTCTGCTCTTCGACGGTTTGAAACGCGCCTACGCGGCGAGAGCACAAGAAATGTTTGAAGAGGAAGACTCAGATTCAGAAGGCGGTGAGATTGAGGACTCGCTTAGTTCCGATGAGGACGATATCGAAGATAAGGAATATCTTGATACACTCTCGAGGAAAACTACGAACGCCTTAACGAATGCCGGTTTTCAAGTAAACGCAACAATACAAGACGCTGTTGACGACTCCAACGACGACGACGATTCGGATTTCGACCTAAACGAGGAAATGGTCCTTGAGGCATACACGACGCCCCTGGACGAGGAAGACTGCGAAGTGGATGAGTACATTGTATTTAAGGAAGTCATGACACAACTCGAGGCGAATCAGACTGAATGGTATCACGTGCTGATGATGGGACTCACGGAAGCGCAGAATGGTTCGTTGATGGAGATTTGCGTGCTTGCCGACCAGCGGCGCGCTGCCAAGGAGAGCAAGAAGATTGAGCAACAAGGAGGTCAATAAATATATTTTTTAAATAAATCTTTGTTGTTGTTACAATTATTTGTTCTGCCGCAGGATATTCATTTACGCAACAAGCCGTACCGACTTCGTTCCACTTTGGCAACACCTCGCTGGGTTCGTGAACTGAAGCGTCGATTACACACGTGATAATTAAACATTTAGTATATCACACTTCAAAAATAATCAGCAACCAGCCCACCCACACAACACGACACATGATATTAGACAACCCCGAGCAGCAGCAGAATCATAGATCATATTTTTACATATTACGTATTGAAATAATTGATTGGAATTTATTGTTTACATATGAAGTTTTATTGTGCATTCGTGTATTTCTATGCCGAATGTCCAGCGCGGACGTCGTGGGCATATAATTAATATATTGATTGTATCACCGTCGTCACAATTTTGCAGTAAATGTTATTCTACATTCTGGAATGAATCCTATTGCTATCTCTTGTATGTATATCGATTTTGTTATTTACGTGTTACTTACGTTGTTCTTTTATGTATGTGGTAAGTGCCTTTTTTAAATTCGCGGCGATGAGAGGGAGATTAATTTGTATAAATATGTTCGATGCAGCACCGTTAAATTGAAACATTTTTGTTAAAACAGGAAGCGAACGCAACAAGCATATGTTGTAAAGTGTTTTTAGTGATGGCGACCATCACGTATCTTGTAAATTGAATAAAAACATCAATATTAAGCGGAACACATTATTTAACCCAAATCACAATGAGATTTTTCCAAATTTCGAAATTTATCAAAATGGCGGATTAATTTAACGTAGAAATCGTAGTAATGTGAACGATGGTAGCAGATTCTTGAGTTAGTATTGATGATTAATTAATACAAAAGAGTGGTACGTACCAGTAAAAGAGGGTAAAAGATGAAATTGAATGCTTCATCAATCATGTATTCGACTGACACTAACACAAATGACAAAATGTTTTCCCATCTTGTACTCGCATAATACGTTGCTATGGCAACGCTAAACAAACATGTGGCTCAGTTCTGTGGACGAATTTGATAACAAAAATGAAGAATATTTTACGTACTAGAAAAACAAAGCTCGCCATTGCTGCAATGAGCAAGCTTTTACTAGTTTTAATAATAAATTCAACATTAAAAGCATTACTAACTTCCAATTTCTGTTGTTATAACTTTTTCACATTTATTCTTCTTCAGAAATCAAAGATTCACTTGAAGAACATGTAAAGCTTGACCACATATGAGATATCACCGCAAAAACCTTTAAAAATATCAGTTTATTTCTTTAAAGAGACCACAACTCCTCGTCCAACTCACTAAACTTACATTTATATTCAATTATTTCTGGGCAAACATGCGTGATCCTTAGTTATCAAAATATGTAGGTATTAAATTTATAGACGCCTTTTTGCATAATAAATTAAGTAAAAACTTGAAACAAAATCACCCGCGAACAATTAAATACAATTAAAACCTAAAATATGCAACAAAATTTCATCCATTATTTATTAACAACGAGTGGTGCGAAAATTTCTAATTTAAAATGTGAATGTTGAAAGAATATAATAAATGTTTTAGTTCAAGGTAAAATAACTCTGATGGCCCAAATAGATGTTATGCCGGTTATGAATTATAAAAAGACAACATTTTCCGTTTTGATAAAAATAAAATAAATAAAATTAAATGTTAAGCATCTTCCAACTGTAATCGTTCAAATTTTCAGCCAAAATGAAAAATAATGCCTTATTTATAATTATTGAAAGGACATTAACTATGTATATAATATAAATTGCCTTAAAGTGTGTTGTTAAGATGTTATACTTGAGTCTCCCATCAAGTATGGTGATTCTGACTGCAATCACTTCAAGCACCGGACAAAATACGTGCCACCAATCTGCCCACCGCGCATCGCCTTCTGAACATTCTGTTCGAACAAACGTCGGTTGTTTGTGAGTACCTCAGCTGCCTCCTTGTTCAATGGATCCTCAGGATTGGGCTCCAGGAACAAGTACTGCAGCCCATAGACAATGCTGTTTATTGTTAGAACTGGCTTCCAGTCCTCTCTGAGGATGTTCAAGCAAACATTGCCATTCTGGTCAATGTTTGGATGATATACTTGTGTTTCACATTTTACTTTAGGTGGCTCGTGCGGGTAATTGGGTCCTACTTTGAAACTGAATACGAAGCGGCCAGTTCTGTAGAAGCCTTCATCTGGGCATATGATCAGTTTGAATGTGAGTAGGTCATCAGGATCTGGGAATTCTGTAGTGCATGTCTTGGGCAAATTTAATTCGTTTATGTCTGCAAAGTTTGCACGTATTTAGAGCTGTGATAAAGTTTGTTTAAACAATTCAGATACCTTTCGTTATCCTTAGCTGTGCTGCTGAGGGTTTTTTCTGATTGCCAGCCCTGGGCGAAGTTTCCCCGTCTTTTTTCTGTTGTTTCAAGGAGAATAATTTTATCATATTTGTGCGGTGCGTACTAAACGACTATTGCGGAGTAATTGGGTAATGATTTTGCAGCGAATTGGAGATGTGGGCATGCGATGCGAGCAATAAAAAGGCATCAAATTGCGAATTTTCTTAAACGTTGACCAAATAACACCGTCAACCTGTCAATGATTTTTCTTTTCCAAATGCGACCAAATGCGACTGTCAACATCTCAGTCTGTCACTTAAAATGATCATGAACAACATTGCCCTCTACATTTTATACCGTATGTTTATACATATGCTAATAAAATGAGTTTAGAACTTTGACTAAATGCATTATCTTAGCTTTTACCGACTAATTTTGCTCAAATTTAGAGCACTTATTATAAAACCTAGCATGTCTGCTATAATAGTGTGGTTAAAAATTAAAGGACAATGATGTTTCTAAAATAAGTGGAAGGAAAATCTTCGAACACCGCGTGTATTTAGTCGGTTTCAGACACTTTTTGACAATAGTACCGTGCATGGCATAACCTTAAATATATCTGCCTGCCTCAAGTCTCTCATTAATTTGCTAAAATCACGAATAATTAAAGAAAATATGTCTGTAATCACAAGAGTTTTTGATGCGAAGCTTATGCGTAATATACCTCGATGTTCGACATATTATTCCACAAAGCCGGGCGAAGAAGAAGAAAAAGAAGGTGAATTTTGTTATTAAATAATACTGATACCATAACAAAACCGCTTGATAAAGTCGCTTTTGAACTTTTAAAACTGCACACTGTTTAATATCCAAGCTATAAATAAATAATTTAAAAACACTACACATTATATCTTTACCAAAGTAAAGAAGGAGATTGCATGAAAAAGTAGCAGTTTTCATTAGGGTTGGTTTTTTTACTCATCTTATATGATTTGCTAACTAAGAATACTTGGAAAATCATTTAATTTAATTTATTTATTTTAATTTAATTTTTGTATCAATATTACAATAAAAATGTGTTTTATATGTCTCTAAATCCATGGTTAATTGTAGGTGAATTCAGAGTTTTGAACCTAAGAAATCTCAGAACTAATATACCAAGACGGAAATTTGTAAAACCCGACGTGCTCCCGCCCAGAAGTGAGCAAATGAAGGTTGATCAAGACTGGGGCAGTGTGTGGCCAGGACCTAGAACCTTCCACCCTGCAGTTGTCCCTCTCCCCATTCGTCAAGGTTATCCTAAAAGGGGTGAAGCACCCCCAGACAAATTTGGAAATGCTGAGCTTATGAAAATTCCCAACTTTCTGCATTTAACACCACCTGTTATTGCCAGACAATGTGAAGCTCTTAAGAAGTTTTGTACACCATGGCCTAAAGAGCTGAAGAACGACAAAATATGTGAGAAATATTTTCCTTTAGAAGTGACTTCATCCATGTATTGTCATTCATCTGTAACTATAAGAGATCCAATGGCGAGAATTATCACTGTCAAGTTTAGTTTGTCAGCTTTGAAGCTTGATGCGCATGCAAAAGACAAATTTTTACGACTTGTCGGCGATCGGTACGATGAGGAGACCGATAAAGTAACTATTGTTACTGATAGATGCCCAATGCAGAAACAAAATTATGACTACGCTATGTACTTGATTACGGCACTCTATCATGAATCGAACGTAAGTTTACTTAAATTTTAAATTTCAATACATAGTTCTAATTTTTAAACGTTTTGTTAATTTTTTAGAATGTCGAAACTTGGGAGAAGCTTAAATCCGAAGCTGATATGGAATATTACGATTGGCAGAAGAATGCTTCCAAAAAATCATTGGAAACTTTATTCGGCAAGCCGTATGAAGAGATTCAACACGGCAAGGAATATGCGGGTGCTGTGGATAAATATATGAACGAAGGTGAAAGCGAATATACAATTAACAACTATGGCGAAGCGGTTAGGAGTTTATTAGGTTTGCCCCAGAGGACGGCTGAAAATGCAACAGTTCAAGCTGAAGATGTTACGAATAAAGTAAAATAATTAATGTATGTTTGAGTTTTGTAAATAAAGTAAGAGTTACAAATGACCACACATTTTAAACTATACCCTTAGAATCCCCAATACGTGACCCAAATAAACAAAATAGGGAGAGAAAGGATCGTGGCTTGTGTAGGTCAAACGCTTTACAGATTTCTTTTCGGCTACATCAACTCTTCCACCAGACACTAGAAGGGGCTGGAAACATCCTAAGTGTCGAGTTAAAAACTATTAATTTTGGCTGAAAAGCAGGGTCGTACTTAGTTTAAAAAATTCTGTCGCAGAGCAGGGTTGAACTGTATTTTTAAATTTTGGTCAGGCCAAATTTTTAATTAATTAGAATTTTCAATTGTAATTATGGATGGACAGTCAAGCGGCAGCACATTCCCGGATAGTTTCCAAGATAATTGAAAAGCAAAACAAAATGGAATTTTAAACTTAACTTTTTTATTACAGAATATTAAAGAAACCGTAGTTTTGTATAATTTATCTTAATAAAATTTTGTTCTAAGATGTACCGTTTTCATAATATTTACCATAATTAAATTCGTTTCTGTGCGAAGTCGAAATTTTCTTGAAAATTGCCAACTTATCAGTGTTAGCAAAAAATTGTCCTGGGATAGTTGATATAAAATTTAAAAACTACCAGAATCTGAAATCAGAATTAAAAAATTCCAATTTTTAATTCTTGTTAAAAAAATGAAAAAGTTTTGCCTTTTTTGTGACAAAATATTTTCACGGTTTAATGCTTTTTATGTTATAAACTAAAATTTTGAATTTTAAAATTTTTTCTTTGGATTATGAGGAGTATTGACTATAACAAATAATACATTTTAGTAAACTTTTCTCCTACCACCATTATTTAAGGCCCTATTGAACCGACAACGGTACAATTGTAATTGAATCAATTATAACTGTTTTATGCATATATTTCATAAACCAAAAGTCTAATTAAATAATATTCTAAAATATTCTCTTTGTATAGTTGTCTTTTTCCAGAATCAGCTCTAAAAACTTATTTTTTTAATTACATTTTTTTCAAATAATTAACTAATTTATGGCGGAGGCGCCGGATATTTTTTTATTATTATAAATTAATAGAACCATTGTGTAGAGAGGCTTTTAATTATCTTGTTTACTTAACTTTTTATTTGATAGCTATAACAGTTTACCCTTTATACGCATTTGATTGAAACGTGTACTTCCACCACAAGTTAATTATCGATTATCTCAAAAACTAATAAAGATAAACATAAACAGAAAACGACATTGCGTTCAGCATCAAATTCTAGCATTGATAATATTTTAAAACTTGTAAATTTCTGGTAGTAAAACATAATTTTCCGACCCGATTTTCTCAGAAAGTAATAAAATTAGAAAAGAATTTTCTTCATTTCTTTCATGCCATGACACAGATCTATAAAATAGCTGATTTAGTTTCGTGATTTTCCGAGGTTGACAAAAAACCATGAAAATTTCTCAAGAGGTTACACTTGATGAATTTTTGGGTCAAAATTTTTTTTGTAAGCTAGAGGAAAATGGAAAACGCCAATCGATAGAGAATCGCAATGCGATGAACAATCTCTATTTTGTTTTCTGCTAACACCAATATTTCGGAAAATTCTGGTGAAAATCTAGACTGACGAAATTGAACCACACTTTCCATTTTCATGAAACTTTCTAACTTGATGTAAAATGACGCAAGGAATCCAGTTATGCAACTTTGATTTCAATGACGTAATTAGTTTTCAAGTTATTGACTATTTTCAGTTATTACATAAGTGTAGATAATTGCATATTTTAAAGTGTCACATAATGTAGAATTGTGCTCTGAATACAAATCTGAAAACCATTTTCTTCTAACTTTAATCGTTTCTAAGAAAATTGCGAAAAACTAGATTATTCAATTTCTCCATCATTTCTTATGCAAAAAATAAAAATTTAAAATTTAAACTTTTTATTGCTACAGAGAAGAGAAAACACGATTATGAATAATTTATTTTAGTAATATTTTGTTATCAGACCAATTGTTTAGGTAATAATCACACCTTATAGGTAATGAACGCTTCGCTCATATTTTAGTTTTGAACGAATCAAAATTTGAGGTTCGCCTGCTGAAAATCAATTTAAGAAAACAATGATTTGTAGTTATCTTGTTCTAAGAAAATTGCTCTTATCTTACTTATCAAAAATTAATTTTTACAAGATAGTGCGGCCCTGTCTTTCGGGCAAAATTAGTTTTTAAGAAAAGTTCGACCCTGCTTTTCAGACAAAATTAAATTTTAAAAACTTTGATCCAATCTTTCGAGCTGGCATTTCTGGACGGTTTAGAAGATAAAAATGTGGCATTTGGTAAAAGATTTAATTTTTAAGCATATTTAAATATTTATTTATTCTAAATAATCTTATGAATACTTACTAACTTCTGGCAGAGTATTTTATCGCACTTCCTGAAAGTAAAGAGTTTATAGGGAACTGCTGTGAGGACTTACCAGTAGTAAAATCAAACACCATAATAAATTACAACAGATATATTTATATATTTTTATTGCAACAAGACAACGTTTAGACGTGAATTTACACTACCTGAATTATTATCATTTTCGTGTGCCAATTATTGAACTGTTATAATCCTACCATCATTTTTAACACATAGAAGCATTTCTGCACTGTTCGCACGAATAACATATCTACACTACAACCAAGTGTTAATATTATATTTAAAATGGAATCAAAAAACGGGCGATTTCGGTAATGTTCTGTCCAGATGAGTTTGAAAATCAGCAAGAACCAATCTGTATACAAGACAGACCCGCTTGAGTGTTGCTATGTACAGAATTAACAAGTATTTGGATAAAATCGCTTTATAAACAATACTGAATGCGTGCGGATGTGTATTTAATCTGTGAATTTGCGGTTGACGTTGCGTCCGAATAGAGCCGTACGAATCTCCGGAATCAATTGCATAGCAATCAACTCCAAGCGCGCTTCCAGTGTGTTGTTGATGCGAATGCGGCCTCGGTGAGCGTACAGTTCCACACCACCGGTGGCATCGGCCGGCAACGGGTTCTCAGTGTCGATCTTAAGAATGACTTCCTTGCCAACAGCTTCCTTGTAGCGGCCAGAAACGTCGGAGAGGCAATTCTCGACGATGGATCGATCTTGAGCACGGCAACGCACCAAAACGTTTGTTTCAAACAACTAAAGAAAAAGGATAGTATTAAATAAAGTTATTCATCAAATAAACTTTAAACATTCTCAATATTACCTGGTATAGACCCTGGAGGATCAAGGTATTGAGAACCTCTTGATATTTAGCATGATCAGATGTGACTTCTCCCAGGCGTTTCCTGGCCTCATCAAGGACATTTCTCACATGATCTTCCCTCACTTTCAGAACCTTCAGCCTGGCTTGGTTCAGCATGTTAGAAGATTGACTGTAAATGAAACATATTCATGAAAATTTTGTTTTCTTAACCTTTTGTGTTAATATTTATGCTTACATTTTCTTCTGGAGTTCAACCTGCTTTTCGCGTTTTTCATAGTACTCCATAATCTTCAAACGTTGCTGTTGAACCAAACGTCCCTTTTCGATGTTGAACTCCTCCTCGGCTTTAGCGTCAATCTCCTCGGCTTTTTCATTGGCCTCTTGCTCAATGAAAGCCATCATATGCTTGATCTAATCAAAATTAAGGCATTGAGTTAGTTACAAGTCACAAGATCACCCAACAAGATTTTTGACTAATATAACGTATGAAAATATTACAAACCTGTTTCTGGACGTCCGCATCGCTGAGAGCCATGTTGCTGGTTGGATTTAGTTTGTTGTAGGATGAAATAAACTCGGGATTCTGCGACAACGCCTGCCAAACTTACGACAAATGTAGGGCGAGCAGATCTTGTGATCCGCAGGTCGAAATTGATCATATGATTTGCAGTCAATGGTGGGGCAAGAATTTAGAGAGTGGGAAACACACATGAACCTAAAATAAGAGCGGGAGATACGAATTTTATTCATTTTTGTTGAGAATTTCGTTTAAAACATTGTCTACATGTAGACTTATTGCATAGTTTTGTTCATTAAAAAAATAATAAAGGTTGTTTTTAGTTTTTACAAGTAAATTTAACATAAATATTAATAAAATTGTTAGAGAATTGGTGTTGTACATCTTGAATTTTGAATTTAGCACGATCTAGACAAGTTCAATTGACGTTTCTGACGTTTAACTCTATTGACGCATGCGCAGTATCCGTAATATAATCAAACCAACCTTGCAAAACAACTAATACCGACAATACAGTTTGGGTTTATTTATATCAAAGAGAAATTAATTACTGAAGCAAAAATGAATGTGCCAGTCATGGGAATTCAACCGCAGCAACCTGTGCCTGTACAACAACAACCTCAACAACCTTTGCAGCCCTTTGATAATATATCAAAGATTAAATCTTTGGTTGGACCATTGCGAGATTCACTTTCTGTGAGCTATACTTAATTAAAATAATTTAACATATTAATAATAATAAATTGATTCTAGAATACCATCAAGACAGCTGCCCAGGTTTTAAATCAAAATTGTCAAGTAGATGTTGGATCTTTGTAAGAGGATAACTTAATAAGTAAATTTTGATATAACTGGCAAAGTTTATTTGTTTTAGGAAAGGAGTAGATGGCCAAATACCAAGATTTGACAAAAATCTTGAAGAATTCTACTCACTCTGTGATCAAATTGAATTACATCTCAAGACATCCATCAAAGCCATCTCTCAGGGTGAAAGTTCCAGCAGATATCTGCCAATGCCTGTTGTTCCTACAAGAACAGAAAACTTGGGGATTAGTGACAACACATTGACTTATCCACAGTATCTAGCCACAGTAAATGCTCAAGTATCATATGCCAAGGAGATTCATAATACTTTGGTGGCTGCAGCACAAAACATATCACCATCAGACTGATATTATCTGTATGACAATGGAAACATGTAAATGTTATACTCGTATGTAATAAGTTTATGTGTAGGTAGAATAAGATAAATATATTTTTACTTTACTTTTTGACAAATTTATTATATAAATATGAGAAAAACTCTTAAAGCATAAATGGATATTGCAGTATCAATTTTTCTCAGTTCTAAAGTATTTAATATAAATAATTACATTATTTCTAGATTCTATGCTATCATTTGTCTTGAAATATTATATAAAGTACCAAATCATATGATTCCACTTTTATACAAATGCCATTCTAGCAGCAATCATGTAAAAAATTGTGATAGCCATGTAAAACAAATACAATCTGATATTATGTCATAAATTCTCTAAGTCAGAGACAGAAATTAAGTTTTTGTCCAGGTTATATGTTGAAATTTTTGTTCATCAAAATTTCTTGCGCTCATCCACAATGCCTGTAACCGTCGATGTCGATGTCTGCGAACAGGAAGTTGAGATTTCCGTCGATGGCGTGGAGGTGGAGGCCGAGCCCCATTTTCAATGTGGGCCCCATTGCGGGCAACACCCTCCTTTCCTCTTCATCCTTTGGTACATCACACTCGCAGTGCTGAAAATAATAAAGGAAGGCGGCGGTAGCTAAATGCACATTCCACGAATTCATCGATTGCGACATCCAAGAAATCAACTCAGGACGAGTCAACTTCAGGCAAACGGTATGTTATTAATATTTGAGTCATTCCATGACTGACTTCAGTTTTATTCCACGAAAAACAAACTCACGACTTATTCGACAGACATACCCTCAAAGGAATCGATTTCGTTTGAATTTGATGTTACAGTCAGAAAGTTGTAATGTAAAATGTTGGGAAATTGTTTAACATGATGAGTTTGTTTGTTTGGTGCTTGTTTTCCAATCGGGTCATTAATACAAATTACCCCATATCCTGTCAAGCAAGCAGCTTTGGTCACTGAACTGGTAACTTCCTTGGCGGGAGGCTATCATGCTATCATGTCAAGTTAATTAATTGATGATAAGGTGTATGCTCAGGCGTGCATATCAATGATACACACGCGGGTCTTGCTCGTGCTTGAACAATACGTCTATTGATGTACCTACAGCAGGACATTACGATTTACAATCATCTTATCTAGCATTATTTGCCTGCGGACATTGTACTCTAGTAAATTAATAATTAATTAATTTACGAGCCGCCATTTAGAAATTACATTTCATATTTTACATTTGGCTAAAGCAACTAATGACATTTTCATATTATCAACACTTAAATATGTGTAACGTTTGTTTCTTTTTCAGGAAATGAATATCTGTATCCAATAATTAAATAAAACCACCAGTGAAGCGCATTATTATTGTTTTTTTATGTTTGTATAAAATTTAAAAAAATGTGTTTGTCAATACAATATATTCGGAAAAGTTGTGTTTAATAGCAGCATTTAAAGCGTGCCAACTATAAAAAGTGCCAAAGGGGCCAAAAGGGTGCAAAGTCTTTAAAATAGTTGCACGGCTTTATATTTCTTTCGGGACGGGACGATAATGGCACTTTGCGAAATCTTTGTAAACTTTTAGAAGTTAGTGTACAAAGTTGTTGCATTCCTTTTCGTCCTTATGCGATATACTGATAAAAACATTGGGGTTGGTTAATATATTTGCCTGCTGTTACATATACAACAAGATGTAGATAAAAAAGTAAGTTTTATATCATAAAAATGATAAAATATTGATTGTAATAGACTTTTATGCGTCATTTTGTTTACAAAACCTTAAGAGTATTGATATTTAACATTATAAGTACTTTTTTAATAACTGATCTATATTTTGAAAATCCTGCCTGAAATTAACCAACTGGACATCCTGTAGAATTGGTCCATCCCCCATATACTGTTATTGATATTCGCGGAGCGCACGCGCGCGGCGTCGCGACGTTGCCGAAGGGCGACGGAGGGCGCCGGAGGGTGAATCGTTGCACGACGGCTGGCGTGCACCCACACACCCCACTGTGTCGACATTCGCCACGAGCGGCGAGACCGACGTCGCTGTGCAGTTAGCGTCGCGACGCCGCTGCGTACTTACTCGAAGGGTGCATGCATCTTTATGTATTTCGGGATTGATAACGCGATTTAAAACGTGCAACAATAGCGCCGTGCAAATACTCGCAAGCGTGCGAATCGAATCAGTGACTTGAGTGTGAGATTTGAAGGGAGAATTTTTCCTGAGCATCACGTCATGTTTTCCTAGAGCGAAAAACTGACAGCCGGCCAACACGCTTGTACATTGTGGGGGTTAGCGAGGTCTGCGGTTTTGCTGTGGATGCTGGTGAATCAGGTATGTGTGTTATTTTTTTTTGTTGACGGCCGAAAGTTTTTCAATTTTGTACCAATCGAAGTGTTGATGTGTATTTACAAGTTAAACATGTGGTGTTATACACCATGTGTTGTCATGTCACTGCATAAAAACCACAACAAGGGTACCGAACAACAATGAATTGGTCAAAAGTTTCGGAAACATGTTGATATATAATAAAATATTTTGGGAATGCGTATTTCGAATATTAAATGGATGAATCAACTTTTGTGTTATTCTTTGTGATGATGCGTATTTTATTTATGATAAAAGTTACTTGTAGTTATTAGAAGAAAAAAACTTCCTGTTGGGCGATGATTCATTACCGCACTACACGCAGCACTTTCAAAATTAGGGGAAGTTTTATGTATGCACGAAAGGAAGTGCAATATTCTGTGGCGTAAAAAGGGGGGAGGCAAAGACCACATACGGCTCACGATATTGGAATTGTGTGTTTTTTTCATTTTGGACTAAACACAAATTTTCTAAATATTAACACGTAAAAATTTACAAAATATTTGGAGTATTCAATAACTTAAAATTTATTTTTTATTTGAAAAATAAATATTTTTTAGTTTTTTTATCAAGGAGCAGGATGTTGATGCTCAAATATCCCAAAGGTCTTTCTTCTGTTTTTTTCATCACAATGTGCACTTTATTGCAAAAATAATACGGCTACACTGCGTTCATTGTTTACACGACAATATTTATTGACTCAACAGAATGAAGCACGCGAGATAATTATTTCATTACAGACCGGAAATAAACGTACCGAAAATGAATTTATCGAACTAGAGAGTACCAAATATTGACGCAATTCGACGCAACCGAATTAAATTTTTAAGTGTAATGTTAGATAAAAAAAACATTTCGAAAATATTTTTTACATTTTAAAGCACCGCCAAACCTCACAAACAACAATTTCACCTCTGTTGTGTTCCTTTTCCTCTCGCGTCTTCGAAAACAACAGTACAAAAGGGTTATTGCAAACGTGACTTACATCCTACATTTCCCCGCATCTTCCAGTCGCTTCACGCTGTATACTCGCATTTTCGTTGCTTATCCCAACCAACTCTTTCTCGTACACTCGACTAGGGTAATACAGTAGTAGAGTTCTTGTAAACTCCGTACTTTTTGAGGTGTGCGCTGTGTTGTTGTTATATTCCCGGCCGTATTGCAAATCGTACGTGCAGGCATGTTTTAAACTATTCGCATTGTTTGTTCTACGTGCCGCGCTGAAGAGTGCGCCGCCGTCTTCAGAATGCAAAATTTAATGCGCAAAACACAAAATGCACCACGCTGCAGTGTGATGCAGATGCAGCACGCAAACCGTACATTGTGAAGAAGGAAGAAATAATGCGCGCAAATGTGAGCTGCTTAAAAGTCAAGCGGTGCATTATGAGTGCACGGATTTTAGTTGCTGAGCGCAAGAGGTAAAGTTGTGCTTTGATTACATGCAGTTACAAATAGCGACAGAAAGATACGAATGTTGAAAAGTCTTTTGAATTACTCTTTGAATGAGTAGCGCATTAAAATTATATAATTAGATGCAAACTTGTTATTTTTATATGCTTTTTAAATCCCATTCAAGCTTAAAACTGTTTTTATTATAATAAAACTTAAATCAAGTGAAAAATAACAATGTTTTAAATTAAACAAAAATAAAAATAAAAACTGAAATACAACAAATTTAATTATGGTAATATTATTAGTTGGATCAAACGTTAATTACATTTAAAGGGATTACAATGCACGGCGTTTAATTAACATTTAACATTCACCGTTAATCATTTATTATTATTCATTATTTATCAGTCAAATTCGAATCGGGACGCGTGCAAATAAATTAAACGAGCATGCATGCGCGCGGGATGATTGCGCGCGACAATAAATAACAATGTTACGCAAATTGTGCCAGTTATGAGCGACGAACGACGGGCTGGCCGAGTGGCCGAGAAAATTAATAAATTCCTCTCTATAATTGCGCCGCCGAAAATCCATAATAATTGCACTCAATTTAGACTATACTGACGTGAAATATTATGTAATATAAAACGCAATTATAAAACGAATTAAATGATTTATTACTGAATCGCATCGATAGAATAAAATACACAATATTTGTATACTGAAATATGAATATTATAAATATTACAAAATACATATTTGTATGATTGATGTTGTTGGACTAGTGAAATATTTAAAAATTTAATACGTTTTTCTGCATGCCAGGCACCTGCACATGTAAAATTAAACAAAAACAGGAGAAACTTTTGATAATAAAACTCGAATTATGAGAATTTTAGGGTAAGTTTCAATGGGTAATGCGGTAATATTTTTATCCAGTATAAAAGTTAATGATAATTAACTTTTGTGGCTGTGCTTAGAAAGACCCGAAACCGTTAGGCTTAAATCTGGTGGAAATCGCTTCACCACACAATGCGCAAATGTGCAAAACGGTGTTTAAATTGAGAAGCACCTTCTAAACTGGTAACACTCTAAGCTTTCACATTCCCCGCCAACATTGTTTCGTGTTAATGCTTAATTAAAAACATAATTCATTACAAACATATGCATCTGTCTACAATTCTATTAACAACCCCGCAACTTTTTTTTCTTCTTCAAAATAAAATTATGACAATGATGCGGATTAAACCGTTTAGCAAATGCAGAAAGTTAGAATTTGGTTTAGAAGATGCGATTACCTTGTAGCATCACAGTGTTCAATGAAACGCAACGACTATGAGTTTCTATTTGAATGCCATTTAAATACCATTACCGTTTGTGGGGTCTTCGGCCACCATCAGCGCTCTCGGGATTGGGATCACAGTCTTAGAAGAATAGGATACTCGTAGTGGGTTGCTCCACGCTTCGTTGGCTGTTTCATTATACGAAATGGGCGAAATGCAACCAGCGAATGCTAATGAGTGTTGTGTTTTCGAATGAATATTAAAAGTTGTGCGAGTGCTATTCAAGCCGCTGTGTAACTTTTTACGCCATTTAATAATCATAAAAATGAAAATAAAGCAAAGAATAGGTACCAAAATAATCGTAAAAAACTATTATTTGTTTATACAAATTAAAATATTTTTATTGAAGTTAACATTGCATTAAATGAATGAAATAAACATAATAATTTACTCTAGAAGTCCATTTTTGAAACAATACTTCTTTTATTTATAATTATATAAAATATTTTTAGAATATACATTTTTAGAATTAAATTCTTATAAAACAATTTTTTAAAGAAGGTAATTTTCAATGCGTTGCTTAATTGCTTCGTTTTTCATAATAAAATACTAGCGTTTAATAATTTATTCTTAACGCCGCAATTTTTATGCAAATTTTCATGGCGCTGTTTATATTTTTTATTTTTCTTCTGCCATCTTTTATATTTATTTCGAAAATTACGTCGCTGGCAGCTTCCTTGGCACGCTGTTTATTTCTTGGCAAAAGCATCGTTCGCACTTTATTTACGAACGCAGCTGAATTATTAAATAGGAATTAAAAGTGATTTAGGTTAAAGGCACCCCCGCAATCCGCCACATAAACCGATATAAATTACAACTACCTACTTTACCACTAACCTAGACTTTATATAAGTATTTTCGGCTTGATTTCTAGGTTGAAATTTAAAAATGCTGACTTTTTCTCAAACTTTTTTGATTTGAACAAGTCTTTAAACATCTCAAAACGAAGTTAAACGATAGATGAGAGATGAAATGAGGTCAAAGTAATTATCATAATGAATAATTCGCCACCGAGGCTGTCAGGCAGGCAGGCGGTAACGACCCGCCACCCCCGCAGCATGACTTTAACTCTGACTTCAGTTGCCAGCCGGGGGAATCGAGTTTGCATACACATGCGACTGCAGAGAAGAAAAGGACAGCGGTTCAAACAGATGAAGAACCAAGTTGAAAGTTATTGCAAACACACTGCCATCTTAAAATATAATTCAAATTGTGTTATTTCATGTCTAACTCATGCAAAAATTTATTTATATTAAAAAATATTAAAAATTTGCACACTTTAATGTTTTGTTACATAAATAATTACTTTCTACAAGCCAAAATATTTGTATCGATTAGCTGTCGGTATTCGTTTGTTTTGCGCACGTTTTTGATTATTTATTAGGATAATCATTCATTGTGTGCCAAATACCCAGTAACACAACAGAAACAAAACCCGCTGGGTTGCAACACACGCCGGGAATGCCTGAAATGGGTGAAATCGTGAAATTGTCGATAACCACTGAAATCTGTTTTCCGCGCTCTTTCACTCACTGTGTTACTTAATGAATGCCGGGGAAAATATTACATGCACGCGTATGTGAAAGATCGGGCGTGATGATTTGCTGTTATGTGTTATGTAGATGTATCCGCCGAAATGTTTCGCTGTTTTTGCCACACAGCGGCGCGTGAAAATTACTCTATCGATATGGAACGCGCAAAATTTCACATTGGGGAAATTTCGGACCAATCGCACTTATCTATACAAACGCTTTTATTTATGCATAATGGGAAACGCGGCTTGAAATTGGTGGTGAAACGGGCTGATCGATTATGAAAATTGGAGCATTCGAGCAGTGTCATTATTTCGGCTCGTTATAGAATATAAAGTTACAAATAAACAAAGAAATGATGATTTCATGTAAATGTAATAATTTCATTATATCAAAGTGGATTAATCACAGAATATTTAAGTAACCATATTATATATAAAAATATTAAAAATGTATTTTCTACAAAACGATTGATAGCGAATATCTTCTAAACTAAAAAAAATAGGAACTAGTGGATTGTTGATTATGAAAGATTGGATCATTCTCTATTAGATAAAAATTTAAAATTATTTAATTTCAAAGAGTAAAAGTTGAAAAATGCGACTAAAAGTGCTAAAAGTGACAATTTTTAATTTTTGACCATTTTCTTCAATTGTGAATATCTCTTAAACTAAAAGAGATAGAAAGGGCAAATTGCAGA